GAAGAATTCAAATTTATTTATTTAAAACTGACCAAATTTTTGAATGAAGACTATTTGCAAAATATTATACATCGCTACTGTCATTAGGAATGTTATAAAATAAGAGAAATATTCATGAGGGATGAAGAATTATGTGAATAAACTCAAATAAACTCATGGGGACGAAGAATTCAAATTTATTTATTTAAAACTGACCAAATTTTTGAATGAAGACTATTTGCAAAATATTATACATCGCTACTGTCATTAGGAATGTTATAAAATAAGAGAAATATTCATGAGGGATGAAGAATTATGTGAATAAACTCAAATAAACTCATGGGGACGAAGAATTCAAATTTATTTATTTAAAACTGACCAAATTTTTGAATGAAGACTATTTGCAAAATATTATACATCGCTACTGTCATTAGGAATGTTATAAAATAACAGAAATATTCATGAGGGATGAAGAATTATGTAAATAAAATCAAATAAACTCATGGGGACGAAGAATTCAAATTTATTTATTTAAAACTGACCAAATTTTTGAATGAAGACTATTTGCAAAATATTATACATCGCTACTGTCATTAGCAATGTTATAAAATAAGAGAAATATTCATCAGAGTTGAAGAATTATGTGAATAAACTCAAATAAACTCATGGGGACGAAGAATTCAAATTTATTTATTTAAAACTGACCAAATTTTTGAATGAAGACTATTTGCAAAATATTATACATCGCTACTGTCATTAGGAATGTTATAAAATAAGAGAAATATTCATGAGGGATGAAGAATTATGTGAATAAACTCAAATAAACTCATGGGGACGAAGAATTCAAATTTATTTATTTAAAACTGACCAAATTTTTGAATGAAGACTATTTGCAAAATATTATACATCGCTACTGTCATTAGGAATGTTATAAAATAACAGAAATATTCATCAGGGATGAAGAATTATGCGAATAAACTCCTGAGAAGTAAAGGATGTCAGATGAAAATTTTTACCATATTCTTTCTACAATTTAAATTTTTTTTATTGCAACCATCTGTTGTTTTCAATGCTGTCTAACAAATAAATATTTAAAAAACAATGATATTTAATTTTTTTGCAAAAAAAAAGTCCTTTTTATCACCGAAATATACAAACTTGTTCAACACAGGAGAAAAATTCAAATTTTCATTAAAGATTGACTGTTTTGTCGAATAATATCATATTGCAAGAAAGTTATATATAATAACAGTATGATATTGATAAAATTAATATGCAATTGATGGAGAAGAAAAATAATATTTTATATTCTGACGAAACACTGATTCAAATCAGACTGAAATTAACACTTTACCGACCGATAGCCTATTAATCGACTGTTTTACCGGCCAACGCTTACCGACCGATAGCCTATTAATCAACTGTTTTATCGGTCGACGTTTACCGACCGATAGCCGATTAATCAACCGCTACCGGTCGGTAAAGTGTTAAGTTAGAGAAGAAAATAAGTATAAAGATAAAACCTACCAAATTAAAGACAAGAAGAATTCTTTTATCAGCAAATGCAATTATTATTTCAGTGTTCTTACGAATTATAATTTAGTGAAAATAAAGCACTATTTTTCAATCTACAAAATTAATAGTTTCCAAACTCTCGAAAAGTCCTTCGAAACGTTTAAATATTCCCATGGATTACTATACCTATCTAATAACAAATGGTAGCAAAATTCTCCATGAAGACACAAAATTGCATCATCTACCAATTATCTGTCACGTTCAATTGGTTCCATAACAACGTATCTCGCCTTATAGTGAATTTTCTACCCTTTCAGTACCAAGAATTGAAACAGTAAGAATAGCTAGCTGGCGTATAGTAAACTGTTTGGTTCCTAGCCACGTGGTAGGCTGTATTCGTGTTTTGAGGATTGCATCCATTGTTGCACCAACAGTTGTTTCGTCTACCGATATTGTAAGTTTTGTTGAAATTTAAGTAATATTGGCTCCATGCATTGTTACGATCCGAGGTATTCCGCTTGTAATTCTCGAGCGGTTCTCCAGCCATCGAGTACCCATAGGCATTATTCCTCCTGGAGAATCGATGGCTGTTGGACGTCCAATAGTCTGTCGAGTCCATTCGTCTGGTCGATTCCTCGATGGAGGATCGAGTGGTACGATTGGCGCAACGACTGCACAAAGTAGACAATTCGTAGGACTCGCAGACAGGTTGACTCATCATCGAATGGCTCATCATTTCGCATTGCACCGTATGATTGGTCACACTAGAGCAAGGAATACAGTCGCCTAATCTAGCAGTTATCTCCTTGCAATCCCTTCGTCTCCTCGGTGTATCGTTCAAGTAAATCGATTGACTAGATATTATCGTCCCCGTTTCGAATTTGTTCGTCGACGTTCTTCTCTCTTTCCTAGTAGACACCATTTTCTGATTCAGAGATTCTATAGTTTCCGTTTCTAGGTCCATTGCATCAACAGCAATATCCTGAGTCTCATAAGCATCTTTCTCTTGGATAGACTTCTCCTCCGTTTCTGAAACTCCTACCGATGTCAGGTCCTCCTCAGTCTCCATTTGCGTACCATCCGAGACCATAAACGATGAGCCTTTGGTTCCGGAAAGCACGGAAGCAGTCTCGATCGAATCGATCTCCTCCTCCGGTATCGTCGACAAGTTCATGGTGTTCGTGCATATCGTTCCCCCGTCAGTTTGCTTCACAGGAGCCACCCTAGGCGAGGCTATCCGCTCGCTGTCGCCCTGCTCCTCCAACGTCATAGCAAGTTCGACTTTTCCATCAGTTTGCGTACCCTGACTTATGATCAAATTCGGACACGAGGGTTCGCAAATCGGTATGTTTCTCGTTTCAATGGTTTTTACCGGCTCGGATTGAAACACCTCGATTTCGGAGCTTTTGTTCACCTCGTCCTCCTTTCTCTCTCGTTGATTCCGTTTCTTCTTGAACCCCATAAACGGAAAGATGCATTTCAAGGATAGACATCGATCGATGAAGCGGAACGATCCCTCTGTGTTCAGACTTTTGCTCCTGGATGTACGAAGAATCACGCATTTACCGTCGTAGCATTCCGGAGTGATCGTTCCTGGTTCTGAATCGTTCGTTTGCAACGAGGAGGGAAGATCTGTGACTGAATAGATCTCTGCAGTCACGTGGACGTTGTCCGTTTCAATGATCGCCTCCGTTCCAATGTCTTTCGTTTGCGATACACTCGATTGATCGTTCCATTTTCCACTTTCATCAGTTGCGTTTGATACTTGCCATGCCTTGTTTTTCGCGTTGTTGTCACCATCTTGTATAATTGAAACACCTTCACGATTTTGCAGACCACGTTCCGTCATTGTGATTGTATTTGATAGGTATATCACAGCAAATTTGATTATTTCTGCATTAAATTTGTTTGCAATAATATCGTTGCGTTTAAGAACAAGATTAAACTGTAAATTTAGTGTTCAGCGTTCTCAGGATCTGCAAATTTGTCACATTTTCTATTCTAACGATGACCATTACTAATTATATCTTTGATAGAGTTTTTAAGTAACCATTGTTCGATGTTCTCAAAATCGAAATTTGCTTCAAATACGATGGTTAATGTTTATTGCGAGATGATTGTCGAAAATAAATGATAATCTTGATGAGCATACATTTCCTTCGACATTTTTAACAATTCTCTCTTAGAATTCTCAAACATTACACTATTAATTTAACTCTCACGCTTGTGAATTTCACGTTAGAAGGTTATGGTAGGATTACGTCGTGTGTGTATAATGAACTTGAATTAATTTATTACCTCATTTGCGTAATGAATGTAGCTGCTTATTACAAGCTCTTCGTCATTATGATCGCGCGGAACATATTCATTAATATTTTTAAAACGTTCCAATTGAGATTGAATTGAATATTTTCCAAATTTACGATCCAAAATGCACAACTATTCGTGTGCATTAATATTGGTGTTTGTTGGCTGTTGCAATACATTGTTTTACGATTTTAGTGACGCAGTTTACGTATAATTCACTGATAAGAAAAGAAAGGTGAAAACTAATACAAAAGTAATGCGTTAGAAATTCAAAGAATCCTTCAGTCTCCTGGAATTTAACCATATTTTCATTCCTATTGCTTGCAATAATTATTAATTAATATCAAGCAATAGAATTTATTCTATTTCACATCTTCGTGTTTCCCAATTTATTATATTTAACTCTTTGGTCTGGATTAGGTCTGGATTAGGTCTGGGTTAGGTCTGGATTAGATCATACCAATCCAGACCTAACCCAGAGCTAACTCAGATCTAATCCAGACCTAACCCAGAACTAACTCAGATCTAATTCAGACCTAACCCAGAGCTAACTCAAATCTAATCCAGACCTAACCCAGACCTAACCCAGAGCTAAATCAGATCTAACCCAGACCTAACCCAGAGCTAACCCAGATCTAATCCAAACCTAACCCATTTTCCTGTAACAGTTAATTCTACATTATTATAAACTTGATAGTAAGTAATAAATAATTTTAAAATTACTACGTTGATTGGAAGATGCTCAAGATTTATTTATTTAACAATACTTGATCATTATAAGCATGCATAATAATTTTTATAGAACTGTTATGGAATCTGTTGAACGTCATGGATGATCATTCGATAGTAACCGAATCACATTTAAATTATACATATATTTCTATTGACATATTATACCAAAGTACAGAGTAACGATACATTCAAGTATAGCAGCTATTTAAATATGTATCGTAATGATATATTGAATATTTACTGTGAAAGCAATAGGAGGCGAACAATCTCTTGATTCAATATTTAATATCAAAACAGTCGTCAAACTAATTTCCCTGTTTAATTAATATTAATCCGTTAGCGAATCTGGTGCACGTTCTCCGTAAACGCATCAATATTTTACCAACACTGAGAATGATCTAACCTAAATCAATACAATTAATTGAAACTTCAGGCTGATTACGAAACTAGTAATTAATTTAAACAATATGTTTTATCGACCACAAAGGGTACTCGGTGTTTCAAAATTGTCTTCGTTGGAATTCTTGAAATTTCGAAATCCCGATCTCAATGAGGATCAAATTTTATCGAAAATGAAAGATCAAGGGATGGATCCCCAAAAAATTGTCACGGAGCATCGATTGCAAATTGCTTGCGAAGAAAATCTAGCGAAGATTCTCAAAAGACTCGATATCAATTTTCGTATTACGAAAAGGTAAGATAATGAAATAAATATTATTTATATACACTGTAATTAGTATAGCAAAAAATCAGATATTCATTAAAATCTCTTTTAACAGTAGATGTCCAGAAGTATTTTAAAATTCAATAGAATATTTAATATACGTATTAAATTTTTAATTAGATAATAAATATTTTATTCAGAATTAAATAGGATACTTCTGGAGTAATATTTTTTATGTAATTAGTATAGAAAAAAATCTCTTTTAACAGTAGATGTCCAGAAGTATTTTAAAATTCAATAGAATATTTAATATTCTTATCAAATTTTTAATTTGATAATAAATATTTTATTCAGAATCAAATAGGATACTTCTGGAGTAAAGTTTTGTATTTTATTGAAAATATGTTATCTTGAGAATGTTTTAGTAATTTTACAGCTGTTTGAAAGATTCACATTATTATTTTTGTTTTCAATAAATTATAATATTTTAATTAGAATATTTTAATGAGATTACAATAAAAATGGGAGATTCGAATAAACATTATTTCTGTTAAAAAACAAAACTCTTTTAACCAATTTTTTTGCAATTGAAAAATTTGAATAAACATATAGTTTTGTTCGTCTTTTTTATTAACAATATTTCATCGAACCAAACGTAATCAATTTAAGAAGAATTTGAGTTTTGAATAGAAAAACAGTAAAAAAATGTGATTCTCAGAACTCACTCCTTCTCAATTGTTATCTTTGGTTTCTGAGTTATTTTTTTAACGTTTACGTTTCGTTGTTTAGGATAATCGATGCAATGAAATACGTGAATTGGGCGGATCTGGTGATCCCCATTGGAGGAGATGGGACATTTCTCCTGGCGTCCAAGCTGATCAAGGACAACACAAAGCCTGTGTTCGGGATCAATCCCAATATCTTCAGCGGCAGTAACATATTTACTCTTCCACCCAAGTATGCAGTGAATATCGGGAGCATATTTGAAAAACTCCATTCAGGAGAATACACGTTATTGATGCGGAGTCGCATACGAACTGTAATGAACGGGGAGGGACTTTACAGCCGACCTTTTCACATACACGAGAAGAGTCGTAGACACGGAGAGAGAAGAATCGAGTGGGTGTACTACAGACAAGTTATCCTTTCTGATCTGAGCTTGTTTTTTCTCCTGCTGGATCAATATGTACATTTTCATTCGTTGCAACTCTCGTTTTCTTCTTTCTTAACACTTTACCGACCGATAACCTATTAACCGACTGTTTTACCGGCCAACGCTTACCGACAGAGAGCCTATTAATCAACTGTTTTATCGGCCTACGCTTACCGACCGATAGCCGATTAATCAACGCGCTACCGGTCGGTAAAGTGTTAACATTTGCAACGATTCGAAAGACGTAGTAACGCGTCCAGTGGGTGTATTACAGACAAGTAATCCTTTCTGATCTGAGCTTGTTTTTTCTCCTGCTGGATCAATATGTACATTTTCATTCGTTGCAACTCTCGTTTTCTTCTTTCTTAACACTTTACCGACCGATAGCCTATTAACCGACTGTTTTACCGGCCAACGCTTACCGACAGAGAGCCTATTAATCAACTGTTTTATCGGCCTACGCTTACCGACCGATAGCCGATTAATCAACGCGCTACCGGTCGGTAAAGTGTTAACATTTGCAACGATTCGAAAGACATAGTAACGCGTCCAGTGGGTGTATTACAGAGAAGTTATCCTTTCTGATCTGAGCTTGTTTTTTCTCCTGCTGGATCAATATGTACATTTTCATTCGTTGCAACTCTCGTTTTCTTCTTTCTTAACACTTTACCGACCGATAGCCTATTAATCGACTGTTTTACCGGCCAACGCTTACCGACAGAGAGCCTATTAATCAACTGTTTTATCGGCCTACGCTTACCGACCGATAGCCGATTAATCAACGCGCTACCGGTCGGTAAAGTGTTAACATTTGCAACGATTCGAAAGACATAGTAACGCGTCCAGTGGGTGTATTACAGAGAAGTTATCCTTTCTGATCTGAGCTTGTTTTTTCTCCTGCTGGATCAATATGTACATTTTCATTCGTTGCAACTCTCGTTTTCTTCTTTCTTAACACTTTACCGACCGATAGCCTATTAACCGACTGTTTTACCGGCCAACGCTTACCGACAGAGAGCCTATTAATCAACTGTTTTATCGGCCTACGCTTACCGACCGATAGCCGATTAATCAACGCGCTACCGGTCGGTAAAGTGTTAACATTTGCAACGATTCGAAAGACATAGTAACGCGTCCAGTGGGTGTATTACAGAGAAGTTATCCTTTCTGATCTGAGCTTGTTTTTTCTCCTGCTGGATCAATATGTACATTTTCATTCGTTGCAACTCTCGTTTTCTTCTTTCTTAACACTTTACCGACCGATAACCTATTAACCGACTGTTTTACCGGCCAACGCTTACCGACAGAGAGCCTATTAATCAACTGTTTTATCGGCCTACGCTTACCGACCGATAGCCGATTAATCAACGCGCTACCGGTCGGTAAAGTGTTAACATTTGCAACGATTCGAAAGACATAGTAACGCGTCCAGTGGGTGTATTACAGAGAAGTTATCCTTTCTGATCTGAGCTTGTTTTTTCTCCTGCTGGGGGGATCAATATGTACATTTTCATTCGTTGCAACTCTCGTTTTCTTCTTAACTCTTGCTTAAAACAATTTCATTTGCAGAACCCTCATACGATCGTCCCAAAGAAAGATGGCTGACGCTCTTCAACCACGCCAAAGAAACTTGCCTTGGCTGGCGCTGAACGAAGTTAAGTTCCTCTTCCAATTAACCCCTTAACGCTCATATTTTTCGGGTCAACCAAGAATGATCAGTGTTCTTTATTGGATTTGTTTCCAAGTTGTATAAAAATGCGGTTTTTGTTAATTGCAACGTTGTGTCCGACGTATAATTTGAAGAAAAACAAATATTGTCATCCCTTAAACAATTAGATCAAAGAAATATCGTCTTTCAAAGCAGTCAGACTCGGGCATGAGCGTTAAGGGGTTAATCTTACTGAAAAAATTAAAAAAATCAATGTTTTTGAATGTTGTGGAATTTGAAATTAACTTCTCTCGCGATTAGTTTTGTTCGTGGAAGTTTAAACGTTCTGAAGTGATCGATACTTTCCATTCAGGTGTTCATGGGAGAATTTTTGGCAGCAAGACCGATAACGTTGGTCATCCAAGTCGAGGATCAAGAGTCACAGATGATCCGATCTTCGGGTATATGCGTGTGCACTGGCTCGGGATCCAGATCCTGGTACAAATCTATGAATCATCGACCTCCTGGTACCCTTAAAAAAATCGTGGAAATAGCTACTGGCAGGAAATTGAACCCAGAAGAGATCAATGATTTATTGTATAAGTACCAGCAAGCTCTTCTGTATCCTCCAGGTAATCAGCTGATTTTGGAGCTCTTTTTTGCCTTCCACAAAAAACTAAAAATTGTTCATTTATCGAAACTGTTGAGAAATATTAATTTCTTCGTGAAACAAAATGGTAGATCGTGTAGAATAATAGTTTCTGTTTCAACACTTTGCAGAAGATTCACGAATGACGTATATGGTACGCGAGATAATTTATAACACACGTTTCGTGAAGTGTTTCCTGGAAAATCAAAAATGCAATAAACTGACTGTGAAATCCTGCGGCTTCGACGCTGGACTCGTTATAGACGGAAGCATTTCGTTGCCTTTTAACGACGGAACAAGTGCCTCTTTTGAAATCAAACCCGAGTACTCTCTTAAGCAAATTGTTGTAACATAATATTCTACCTGCTTCAATTGCTATTTAGTGAAAGGAACCATTCTCTTTGAATTTATTCCAAACACTTCGACCATTAATCATTACGATCCTCTTCGGCAAAAAGATATATTTAATTTAGTAATCTAATAAAAAAAAAAAAAAAAAATTATTTTGAGGATTACATGACAAAAATTCCACAAACTTTTACGGACAATAGTTCTCTAAATAATGGAGTTTCGAGGCCCCCTAAAAATGGGTGAAAAAGATCTACCTGTACTCGTCTGAGACAATGTTTTAGAATCTTTGACACAAAGGATTCTTTTAACGCCGCTAATGAAATTGAAAAAGGAATAAAATGCGTTCTGCAGTTTCTTCCCCTCAACTACCACTTCCGATTTGTGCCTATGAACTCGAACGTTTCGCTGTGCTCTCTTTCTAGCGTCGTCTGGGGGGCCATGGTGTTCGCCGCGCGTATTTTTCTTTGGGCTTTTAATTAGTCCAGTCGTTAATAAAATACAGCTCAGCTCGTCCAGGCCTCCTCTTGCTGGCTTCCACTCCTCTTCCTCCGGTTTCCACCTTCCCCCGGAACACTTTGCTACACTTCAGGAATTTTACCTACGCCCCCCCAACGTGTAAACACGCCAGTGCCAATTTATTTCACCGCGGGGAACGTTTTAAAAGCCCGGAGTCCAGGTACTCTTCCTTTTTCCATCTCCTTCCTTTCTTGTCGCTCTTTTCTTTTCTCGTCCTCTTCTTCGACTCGTTTCCGTTCTCTTTCTATTTTTGAAAGAGCTTCGAGTAGTTACCTTCTTCCCATCCGACACTTTTCTGCTTTGTCTCTCCCTCTCACTATTTCTTCCACGCTCTCTATCCACCCCCATTCGCCATTTACTCTGCTTTTTCTCCTCCTCTCGCGTTCTCCTTCCGTCTTGCGATTTACGAGGTTGCGGAACTGCCGCAGGCTTCGAAACGAAGAAAGCCCGGACCCGGATAAGTGGTCGTTTTGTGTCTACGCTGGCCAAGGGATGGTGTTTCTTGTTCGGTGATTAATGCTGAGTTTTATAGCGCACCGCATTATCGGAGAATATAATATTTATATGCCATGTTGGTTCGCAATAGAGCACCTAGAACCATGAATTTGCTCCTGAGATGTGCAACTTTCGAGTTTGACCTTCGTATAAATAACCGTGCGCGATTATAAAGTGACTGCACGTCTTATTTATGAGAGGGAAGTTTATTATGCAGGGAATTGATTGAGAGGATGCAATGGTGGATATAGAAGCTGAACGATTTAACATCTTGACCGCCACGTGACCCATATATGGGTCACAGGATTTACCATATATATTATATATACATTTGGGTTAGGTCTGGATTAGATCTGAGTTAGGTATGGGTTAGGTCTGGATTAGATCTGAGTTAGGTCTGGGTTAGGTCTGGGTTAGGTCTGGATTAGATCTGAGTTAGGTCTGGGTTAGGTCTGGATTAGATCTGAGTTAGCCCTGGGTTAGGTCTGGGTTAGGTCTGGATTAGATCTGAGTTAGTTCTGGGTTAGGTCTGGATTAGATCTGAGTTAGCCCTGGGTTAGGTCTGGGTTAGGTCTGGATTAGATCTGAGTTAGGTATGGGTTAGGTCTGGATTAGATCTAAGTTAGCTCTGGGTTAGGTCTGGGTTAGATCTGAGTTAGCTCTGGGTTAGGTCTGGGTTAGGTCTGGATTTTGAATGTACAATACATACCAATCCAGACCTAACCCAGACCTAACCCAGATCTAACCCAGACCTAACCCAGAGCTAACTTAGATCTAATCCAGACCTAACCCAGAGCTAACTTAGATCTAATCCAGACCTAACCCAGACCTAACCCAGACCTAACCCAGACCTAACCCAGACTTAATTCAGACCTAACCCAGACCTAACCCAGACCTAACCCAGACTTAATTCAGACCTAACCCAGACCTAACCCAGACCTAACCCAGACCTACCCCAGAGCTAACTCAAATCTAATCCAGACCTAACCCATACCTAACACAGATCTAATCCAGACCTAACCCAGAGCTAACTCAGATCTAATCCAGACCTAACCCAGAGCTAACTCAAATCTAATCCAGACCTAACCCAGAGCTAACTCAGATCTAATCCAGACCTAATCCAGACCTAACCCAGACCCTAGATTTTAGATAGTTTAGAATTTATGAATTTCAAGAAGCTTACGATAATAACTGATGAAACAAATTTTAGATTATGTAGCTTACTATGGTCTGAAATCAACATTTCTCTTTTGCAGAATATTATACGGTTTTTATCTAGCAGTGAACGTGTTAAATCGATCTATTCGAATATCTTCGAAACTGATGGAAACTTTTGGACAATTGAATAGTTTTATAAAAAAAAACGGTATAATTTGATGTAAGTTTTCTCTAAGTGGACATGTAAAGTTTAACTTTCTTTTCTAAAATGGTATCACGTATTTCTAAATATATCAATTCGTGCAACATGTTATTTTTTAGACAAAAGTATTAAATCACTTATGTCTAAGGATCATTACTTTAGAAACTATTAAATTTGCTCATATATGACTGATATCGATAAGATCGATGAACTCGATACTCGAGAATCTTGGCTCACTTCATAGTTCAGTCATCTTTTCATCGTCGTAACTTTGATCAGTTATTCCAAATGACGAATCCAACTTGGTAAAATCGAAGAAATGATCGAGTCGGTTTCATTAAAATTACTTTAGCAATGTCTCAGGTTTGCCCGTCCTCGTCTCATCAGCTCGTCGCAGCCTCCATTGCGTTTCAACGCGCTCGGTGTAAGTTCCCAAAAAATTATGGTCTTTATGGTAACACCGAGGACACGCTGAAACTGGACAAGGTAACTGTTTCTGTCATACAATGAAAGAATTTTGTACAAATTCCTTAAAATAACGACTTCAAAAACGCTCTTACATTTATCAAATCTGAAAATTAATTAATCGACATATTAATAACTAATTAGTTTGATTACTTTCGGTAATTTTTACGAGACTTTTGCTTTATACGTCTAGTATATATGTACAGATTATTATTTGGTATATCGAGAGTGTATGTAAACAAAATTAATAATGTATTCTATAAAAAATTAAACGTAAAACAAAAATGGCGAGTTGTATTAGAGTAAGTTGATTCTAGAAATTATATTAATCTGTAATTCTTTTTTAAAGTGATGAAATGATACGAAGAAATATTACATGATTTAGCTAGGTGAATTTTTCAATTACCATGTTTAAATAAAATAATACATACACTTTCGTATAAACCAATTCCTCTCGTGATTCTGAGCATGAAAGTTACAGTTATGAAGATTTACAGTTATGAAGTTATTTACCATTTATTTCTTGGATACGAATTTTGTCTTTTTATCTTGAAATGACGAGAACACAAAAAACTGAAATCATAAAAAGATACATGGTCAGTAAAGTGTCTATTCTCTCCCTTTCCCAAGTTTCTCACTATTAAAAAGCAATATGGCGCCGTGATTGGCCAGTGTTTTTCGTTAATAATTCAAAAACGAAGCCCCATCCGACATTTTTGCAAAGGAAATTGTTGTTCAGAATCGTCTCAGCTACCCCCCATTTCCGGTTCTTAAACTATTTACGGGACACCCTGTATGCGTATAATAGATCGGTCCAGTTTCTAAAAATGCTCACATAATTTGTAAAATCGATATAAAAAACAAGTTATAACTGGACTATTTATTATTTCTTGCGACATTTGAGATTAGACGGAATGTGTCATGGCGGACGAGTCCTCGAACGACGAGAATTTGTCGTTTGCGACGAAGAAATGCCCAAAATCGAGTCACGAAGAGGCTAAAACAACTTCGTGGAACGACGATTCTATAGAAAATAGTTCGAATTTACTCCAAAAACCAATAATCTGCAGTTGCTGTCGCAAACGCAACGAGCTTGCAAAATCTAATCAATCGATAAACAAGATCAAAGATCAATGTAACGCTGGAGACACAGTCGACGTAATTTCGAGTAAAAAATACGATGGAATCGCGAAGAAAGACGATCTTTCCAAGTCGAAGCAGCTAGAAAAGTAAGATAACTTTCTTTCATTCTCCACGAGACAAATTATTGTTAATAATTAATCATTTTTGTAATTAAGTTTGACTATTCTTTATTTGAAAATATTTAGGTAAAGATTAATGAGTGTTAAACAATGGAATAGCGATTAATAAAAGCTGCTGTTATATGATGTTACTATAATTTTAACACTTTACCGACCGGTAGCGATTGATTAATCGGCTATCGGTCGGTAAGCGTCGGCCGATAAAACAGTTGATTAATAGGCTCTCTGTCGGTAAGCGTTGACCGGTAAAACAGTCGATTAATAGGCTATCGGTCGGTAAAGTGTTAATATTCCGTTTTCAGCCATTACTAAACTCGAAACCTTTGTGTCTCATATTTCTACCCTAATTAATAATCCTCTATATATTTTTAGCTAATCAAAAGATTACATTCTAATCACATTTTTGTTTTTGTCACCTTCAATTAGACAACAAAATTAATAAAATGTAGAAAATTAAATTGTGAAATAACAAATCGACAACAGTAGACTCGTGAAATTGTACTCTGAGAAATTTTAAGCATTTCTTATATCTGATACATGAAATTGATTGTTTAAAAAGAACGAGAAACAGCTGGAAATTCATTTTCGCGACGAAACGTTTAATCTATTTGATTTTCAGTTGTGTGACAAAACTAATGAAAAGTTTCATGACAAAATCGGGAAATTCTAGCCCCCGCCATACTTCAGTTTCCCATTCACGAAGTCCGAAAGAAACTTCGAGCAAATTGGATTCCGTTAATCTTCTTTACGACAGAGCCCATGATCAAGTCGATAACGTTAAAAGCAGCAGCTCGTTCGAGAAACAGAGCAAGTTGAAATTCTACGAATCACAACCACTTCCGTATGAATTATAGCAATAATTTCATTTAGATTGCAATATGGAGGAGCCAAGTAAAGTCGAAAATAGGGATTGGAAACCTGAACATCGAAATTCACGATCGAAAGTAAACTTTTCCAATTCGCAAAAGGACAGTTCATCGACTGCTGTTCATCATAGTTGCGATTTTCGTTGCAAGAAACACTCTACTTTCGATTATTATCGTCCACAAAGTCGCCATCGTTGCTACCATCGCCATAACTGCTGCCATCAGTGTTATGGCAAAGAATACCACAGGTTTGGACAAAAATTCTAGCGATTATTATTGTAGAAAATTTTAACACTTTACCGACCGATAAAACAGTTGATTAATAGGCTATCGGTCGGTAAGCGTTAGCCGGTAAAACAGTCGATTAATAGGCTATCAGTCGGTAAGCGTTGGCCGGTAAAACAGTCGATTAATAGGCTATCAGTCGGTAAGCGTTGGCCGGTAAAACAGTCGATTAATAGGCTATCAGTCGGTAAAGTGATAAATTTTAAATTCCGTGCAAGGTGTTCACTTGAAAAGTTACGATCGAAATATATATTTTGTAAACAATGCATTTTCACGAGAAATGTTTGATATTAAATTTTAAATTCTGTGCAAAGTGTTCATTTGAAAAGTTACAATCGAAATATATATTTTGTATTTCAAGAGAAATGTTTAACATTAAATTGTGTGGATATTGATTGCACGTATTATTAGTAAACCCCGTAATTATTGAATAAGCTATTAATAATTGATAGATCAAAATTCAGGTTTCCTTTTAATTAGGGTATATTCGTATCGTTAGATTAATTACATTCGACATAAATTGCTAACGAATAACTAGACTGCGGATGTTTATGCATTTATGGGAAATTCAGATGGTCAAAAAACTAGAGAATGCATTTAATATGCAAAAATATAAGAAATACTTATTATTATATTTAAGGGTTGAGACAGAGTTAAATTTTCAATTATGTTTTCGTTTATTAGTTGCTCATCGAAGGAGAAACTAAGCCTCACATCAGACACGTGTCTCTGTTCGTCAAATTCTAATAAACAAATGAATTGCTATAACAAAGATGGAGTTGCCTGTTGCCACGATTGTTGTCTGAAAAGTTCAGAAAAGATATCGACCATTCCTGAACAGAACGACGAGGAATACGACGATTCCATGATCACGATTAATCATAAAGATTCATTATGCCTCCTGGTGGAGAAGTACAAGGCCAGTAAAAAGTGCAAACACAAGAAATATCCCGACAAAGCAAAATTCTCGGACAAAAAGGCCAAAGAGTTCGGTGAATCGTTCGACTCAGAAACTAATTATCAAACGGAAGAAAATGTAATCACGAAAGAACGAGAAGAATATTTCAACAGCGATAAATGCATGTATCGAGATAATCGTACGTCACTGGGGAAAGCGTGCAGGGACGACTGCAATCACTTAAAAAATTTGAGATCTCGTCTGGTGAAGACTGGCACTTGTACAATGAAAAATACACCTTGGAGACACTCATTTTAATCAAATTTCTATTCCACGCTACGTTTGTATACTTGTATCGTTTTTAGTTTAATCGTTTGTTCCTTTGACAGAAAATTTGAACTCAATAAAAAAACCACGAAATCAAGAGTGCATTTCTGGAACATATCTTCTTTTAACGTTCTTTAACACATTACCGACCGATAGCCTATTAATCGACTTTTTTACCGGCCAACACTTACCGACCGATAGCGTATTAATCAACTTTTTTACCGACCAACGATTAATCAACCGCTACCGGTCGGTAAAGTGTTAAGGGCAGTTTATATTTACGAAATTTTCATTAAAACTGCTGTAAAGCTTCTGAACGAACGAATTTTCATTTTCTTCACGTATTATTCACGTATATTTATATTTCCTTTGACAGAAAATTTGAACTTAATAAAAAAAACCACGAAATCAAGAGTACAGTTTTGGAACATCATGTGTCTCCTTTTAACGTTCTATAAGGGCAGTTTATATTTACGAAATTTTCATTAAAACTGCTGTAAAGTTTCTAAACGAACGAATTTTCATTTTAAGCTTCATTTTCTTCCTTGCCCAGTTGCTTAAAAAAAAAAGTTTGCAAAGACAAGGACTCACGAGCTGACGCTTTTCAGGATCCTTGTTCTTTTAAAAATATATTACGCGAATAAAGTTGATCAACTTATTTCGTAAATATATAGCTTTAATACAGTTAATAAAGGAGGTCATTTATATCATTTTTCCGCCTCGCCAGGGGTACCAATCTCTTTGGCAACATTTGGCTCAGCTTCTGCCTCCTCGTTTTTATGTTCCTCCTTGGATTTCGCCATTTCTCTTTCCTCCTCCGACTCTGCAACAGTTTCGTTATTATTTATGCAGTGCATGCTACATAAATTTCCCCACCGCCACAAAAAGTCATTAATTCTTTGGTTTTCCTTCACCTTCGGTCTCTTCTTCTAATTCTAGCTCCGTAAAATACTCGGTTTCTGGTTCCGTTTGCAAAAACTCCGTCGCAATTTCGTATTCCGTGCCTTCTTGCTCGTCCACTTCCGCTTCCGCTTCCGTCAACTGTTCTTCCGTGTATTCCATGTCAGACTTCGCTTCAGATTGCAGTGGATGGTGTTCAGAATCTGGACCTTGTTCTATGGTTTCGATCTCCTCTGTGGTCGCCATTTTGTAATCGAATTTAGTGACACTTTTATTTAATATTGGAACGAAAGTTCTGAAAGGTCTGATGGATATTAAGAAATAACTCTTCTCTAATTAATTGTTATGCATAATATAATGGCTTCTTATGTTCAATAAATTTTATCTCTATTTAAAAAATAAAATTAATTGTTCTTTACATAACATGTTAAAAACTGTACATATGATACGTTTCGAACAAAAAATACATTATTCAAAGTAACAGAACAGTATTATAACACGAAAAAAATAATAAAAGAGTACTATTAAAAAATTCACTTACAAAAAATATTCTTGATTAATAAATTAAATTAAATAATCTACAATGTAAATTGTAGGTGATTACACGTTATTCTTTCAGACGTTTAGTGACATAAACATCCATGTAAAAAAAGAAAATAAAATTAATATCTAAACAATTATAAATATACAATATTTGTAAGAATTCAAACTATCATTTTATGAAAGAGAATTCTCGAGTGTTTTGTCGTGATTTGTTAATATATTTTGACGAATTTAGAACGAATGTTTACCTTCGTCTTCATCCTCTTCGTATTCCTCTTCGTCGAGTTTGACAAGTCCCAAATAACCTAATAGAAATTTCTTAATTTATTAGAGTATTTGAATGTTTTAGGGTAATTTAAATTCACGAAGATATCTGTGAGAATAAGTCTATATTCTCAAGAAATGCTTTTAACACATTACCGACCGATAGCCTATTAATCGACTGTTTTACCGGCCAACGCTTACCGACCGATAGCGTATTAATCAACTGTTTTACCGGCCAACGCTTACCGACCGCTACCAGTCGGTAAAGTGTTATTCCCAGATGGATATTTTGGGTGTTCAAAGAGCCCCCATGCATCTTTCCCATGCATACCTTCTTTCGAAATACGCGTTGTCCTTAAGTGTTCTTTAAAAGCTAGCTGAACCTTCGTACTGGCGACCATCAACTCCTCTCGGGTGCCATATTCTTCCGGAATGTTCTCGCGCGACGTCACTCTGTCGAAAACCTTGTGATGCAAATTATCGATAACAGCTTCCACCACCATCGACTTCGTGGACTCCAACTTTTGCACATTGTAGCTGTCTTTTCTCATACGATATTTCTTGTACGCTTTCTTTGTATACAAAATAATAATAATTGAACTTTTTGGACTTTAAAATTGAAAATTATGGATAACAAAGACGATCAAGATGGATCACAAGATTCTCATCTACAATAAACCTTTCAATTTTACGATACACTATACTGTCCCTACTTTCAAATAATAGTGTAGCTTATAAAAAAATTTATTTGCAGTAACTATTGTATAATTTCTAATACCATGAAACAATTAGAAGTTTGTGTTTATCAAAATTCATCACCGAATATATTATTATATCATTTTTTTTTAAAGTCGAATATAATTTGGGTTGTAAAGGGTTAAGTTGACACAGTGATATCACCCTAAATTGAACATTCTCTACTTGAATAATTGTTGCAGCTTCGTTGGCTTTCTCCAATGACAATCCAGAATCCTGATACATCATTTCCATCCAGGCAACAGCTTGCATGGCTTCAGCAGTCTCCAATATACGAGAGTCCTTCTTAAGTTCGTGTTCAGTTTCCGCTGAGAACAATTTTTTTAATTTTCTCAAATCACATAAATCTACGCGTTACAATTAAGATCTTACGAGCGCCTATTTTCTGATTCCTCCTGATGTAGTAACTGCGATAAGCGAACTGTGCGTTGACAAGGATCGATTCAATTCTTCATTGATGACAATTTGCACTGGGAGAATCTTACTTTTACGTGTTTTGCGGCTGTCGAAATCTCCGTTTGCGTCGCTCCAGCTTTCCTCAGGATGTCCAGTGTGTTTGTTACTGCCCTCTGCCATTGGACCCTTCCCTGAGACTCGTTCAGAGCCATCCTCTCGTAGTGGCCGCGAAACGCGGACTAAGTTTGATTTGATACAATTTGAAATAGGTTGGAATCAGAAGTTTTGGGTAGTAGTTCTCTGTTTGGAGTGTGCTATTGGTAATTTAGAATGTCAGAGTTCGCTCCTTGGTAGCTAGCTAGATCACTTATCCCTAGCTAGCTAGCTCACTCCTTCTTAGCTAGCTTGATCACTCTTTCCTAGCTAGCTAGCTCACTTATCCCAAAGATAGCTAGCTCACTCCTTCTTAGCTAGCTTGATCACTCTTTCCTAGCTAGCTAGCTCACTTATCCGTAAGATAGCTAGCTCATTCCTTCCTAGGCTAGCTAGCTCACTTCTTCCTAGATAGTTAAGCTCACTCCTTCTTAGCTAGCTTGATCACTCTTTCCAAGCTAGCTAGCTCACTTATCCCTAAGATAGCTAGCTCACTCCTTCTTAGCTAGCTTGATGACTCTTTCCTAGCTAGCTAGCTCACTTATCCCTAAGATAGCTAGCTCATTCCTCCCTTAGCTAGCTAGCTCACTTATCCCTAGCTAGCTAGCTCACTCCTTCTTAGCTAGCTAGCTCACTCTTCCCTAGCTACTTAGCTCACTTATCCCTAGCTAGCTAGCTTACTTATGCCTAAGATAGCTAGCTCACTCCTTGCTAGCTAGCTCACACCTTCTTAACTAGCTATCTCACACCTTCTTAGCTAGAGCTAGCTCACACCTTCTTAGCTAGCTAGCTCACACCTTTCTATCATTATTTCTAAACAAAATTCTCCCAACTCTCCCTATCATAAATGTCCAAGTGTCCCAATAGATGATCATTTTGACTAATCCCATATAATTTTGTTTCGAAATCCTAACTTGAATCACAGTAGCAGCGCGTTCTGCAGTCTCCCTCGTCGATCCTGTTGCTTCCAGAATATTTCGTATCGATACCACAGCTTCTTCATCACATGTATGCTCTGTGTTCGAAAATGCCCTATATTACTATTTTTTAAATTGAGAAGAACTTAAAGCTAAGTGTTAGTAACACTTTACCGACCGATAGAATATTAATCGACTGTTTTACCGGCCAACGCTTACCGACCGATAGCCTATTAATCAACTGTTTTATCGGTAAAGTGTTAAATATTGATTTCTTAAACATTGTTCCTCCCCTATACTGTTTTGCTCGAAATTTTCCCAAGAAATTGATACGAATTGCAAAAAAAATGGCGGAAGATTGCAAAAATTGAGCAATATTTAACACTTTACCAACCGGTAGCGGTTGATTAATCGGTCGGTAAGCGTTGGTCGGTAAAAAAGTCGATTAATAGGCTATCGGTCGGTAATGTGTTAATACTACTTGTTACCCAACCAAACAGCGTCGTTATCTGTGTAAATTTTTTTTACCCTCGCATGTCTGTGTTGGTCGAATGTCCACCGCGTCCAGGTACTCTCGAAACGCTCTCTGCAACGAAGAAAAAAAGACAGACAGGCGAAATGTCGAACGATACGTGTAAGTATCGATAAGCATCTAACACGCGACAATGCAATTTACTTGAATCCGCGGTGCAGCGACTGCGATCTGCTCCAAACTGAAACCAGTTCGATAAAGAATGCTCAGAATTGCCTGGCTTCCCAGTAAAATGTTATTCACGACTTTGACAGCGACTGAAACAACAATGGAGGTTTCAAAACGATTGGCGAAGAAAAATGTAACATTTCCAACGAGTTTTTATTGATATTTCAATTTACTTTTTGTGTTCTCGCGCGTGATTAGGAGCGTGTCCACGTATTCAGCGACGAAACCGTACAGGTTCTTCGGTTGCAATCGGAGGACCTGTTTTTAATCAATGAATTATTAATTAATATAATTTTGAAGATGTCAAACGACGATTTAATGCAACGAGATGAATTCTAGAAAACACTTAAACTGTAGTGACTGTAATTTCCGTCATATTTCAGTTTACCTCGCGTGAAATGTCGGTGCAGAGTTCTCTTAATCCTTCTGGCACCTTGTATATGTGTTTAGCGCTGTGCTTCTGAAGCATAGCATCCATTGTTCAGGATTTGCCTAACTATGAAACACGTAAAATCGAAATTGAGTCTTCCTCGAAAATAATTTCTATTACCAAAAACGTTTCGAAATCTACGGTCAGTTTAACAGCTGTCGTGCGACGCGAAACACGATTCTCTTTTATTTTGCAAATGGATGTCGCGTCTGCATTCAATTTGCACTTCTAAATAACTAATGAAATTATTCTAATTTGGAAGGAATTAAAATTCATTTCTGAAAATGAAGTAATGGGGTTTCGAGACCCCATAAAAATACATTGGATGAAGGACCTCATCTGTGACAATAATCTAGAATCTTTGAATCAAAACTAACCCAGCGAAGAAGCTCTATATTTACGATGACCTATGCCAAAGCGGATCGCAGCCAATTCGCTAATATCATTCAGTTTTTAATTAATAATAGCATCACCCAGCTGAGAGTGATACGATTATTAATTAAACGCTGAATAACATTACCCAGGTCTCACCACGAGGAGGTTGCTGCGAATGGAGACCCGCCCTAGCCTCGCCCCAACCACCCTTCCTTTGGCGAGGAATTCGACTACCTATCCGAGGGAGAAGCTATCGAAAAGTTGGAAACGAGCTACGAAAGGAGAGTTCTTAAAAGAACTGCCCGATCGAGAGACGAAGAACCTAACAAAATGTCAACGCATGTGAGAAGATACACATGTTTTCTAGAAACGAAATTGGAACGTGCAACTGCACGTACGAACTCTGACGAAGAGATCGAGAACCTAACAGAATGTTGATACACGTGAAACAGTCCATCACATGTTTTTTTAGAAACGAAATTGGAATGTGCAACTGCACGTACGAATCCTGATTATTAAAGTAACGATATGTGCTTTATTATTACTCGCCCCTCCTTATATCGATGCTTTTATTACGACAGTGCCTGATAAGACACTGGAAGATCCAACCAGAAATGTGCAACTGCACGTATGGACCTTGCATATCAGAATACTAATATGTACCTTGATATTAATCATCCCCACTTAAATTAACGCACACGTTTCAGTAGTATTTAATCGAACGCTTGGAGAACGCTTTTTTATCTTATAATCTATATACATTTTTACTTATATTCTAACGCGATCCGAAGTACGCAAGAAATACGAGGAAATATTCTCTTCTTGGTGTCTTCATCCATCCCACGATGTTTTTCTAAAACATACACTCATATACAATAAATATAACCAATATGAAACGAAGATACGACAAGATATTTTCTTCTTGGTGTCTTTGACAATCCCACGATGTTTCCCTGAAACAACAACTCATATTCAATAAATATAACTCATATAAAACAAAGAAATATGAAAAGATACTTTCTCCTTGGTGTCTTGGTTAATCCCACGATGTTTCCCTGAAACATAAATTCAGACAATAAATAGAATTGTATGAAATATTTTTCTACGAACGATCAAGATGGAATCCGTGTACCATTTCCAATTCGATCCTTCAATGATTCTATATTCTGTAACAAGAACTTGTTCAAAGGATTAATAGCTGAAATGAAAAGTGTATTAATGAATAGTTAAATTCGTGTCAGTGTTAAGATAAATAAAAAATAGATTGAAAATTTTATTCAATTGTTCCCGTAGATTTTATTTTTCGTTTCGATTATCAAATAGAAAAATTTTTAAGACGTATACATTGCAATAATTATATTTTACTGTATTCGAAACTAAATTAGGTTCGTAAAAAGCAATAACGAACGAAAATGTCGATTCTACGCGGAAATGAACTCTCAATATGAAATATCGAATTGCAATTTGCATATCCTTTCGATACAAGCATTCTATTTCCCATCGATTAAAACAATAATCGCGAACAAACTTTGATTTATGCAAAGAATTCAGAATATTTATAAAAAAATTCACTATTTATAAATAACAATTGAGATGCAACGGTTATTATATCCCGTAAAAATTATCAACTCTAATAATGATTAATTGGTGATATAGATATATAGATTGGAATCATAAATTCAATCTACAATAACATTAATCATAATATATTTAACGCGTTATAAAGAATAAGACAATTGGTCTATTTACAGCAGTACTTTAAAGCAGTATTTCCTTTGGCAAATATATAAAGAAAAGATATATTTTAGATTAACGTCCACTCGTGTTAAATTCAAACAACCCGTGAGTGGACCATTCTTTCTTTCGCAACGCTAAATTATAAGATAAAAAACAATACGCGAATGGTGCTTATTATTCGTAAAATGAACCTCACAGGGTTCTTTTATTAATTAAATCGCGTGCACCCATATTCAATCATACGCAACACTAATTTTAATAACGATGTTGAGCCATTCGAGGCTTTGCAGATCTCAGCTTGCTTCTTCATGATCCTTGATGCAATGGCCAGCGTTTTGGCCAGCGTTTTGGCCAGCATTTGGGCATTGAATCGCAACTCTACTTAATAAAAAACGCGACAAGTCAAGATCGCAACGCTAATTTATAATATAAAAATTCCAAACGCGATTTCTAACAATAAAAGCAACCGCGAATGGTGATTGTTCGCAACGCTACCCTGAAAAGTAAACGCGAAAAATAGTAATTCGCAACGCTAAGAGCAAACCGATCGGTTAATTCGCAATGCTATTTTTAAATAACGATAAAAGCAATCGCGTATGGAATTCGCAACGCTACCCTGAAAAGGAAACGCGAAAAATAGGAATTCGCAACTCTACGAGCAAACGCGATTATTATATATTCGCAACTCTATCTTTAATGGAAATATATTTATGTTTCGCAACGCTAATGCAAATCGCGTTGCCCAAAAATGCTGGATCGTGGCGTTGCAGAAAATAAGCTAACTACTTCTAATTACTATTAACTACAATAAAGTGGCACATATGGGGATGAAGTTACATGTTTTAAATATCGCAACACTACGGAACAACAACGCGATAAATCAACAATCGCTAATTTATAATAGAAAGAATTCCAAACGCGACTTGTAAGAATAAAAGCAATCGCGAATGGTAATTATTCGCAACTCTACCCTGAAAAGCAAACGCGAAAAATAGTGATTCGCAACTCTACGAGCAATCGCGTTTACTAAAAATTCGCAACGCTATTTTTAAAGCAAACACCCGGTTCCTAGGTTTGCATAAAAACAATCGCGAATCGTGTTCAGTCGCAACACTAACAGATCAACGCGATAAATATTTGTTCGCAACTCTAAGAGCAAACGCGAACATTGTATATTATTCGCAACTCTAACTTTAATCAGGGGCTATTGGTACATGTGCATGCACATGTACTGGCCACTAAACTAACTACTTCTAGTACTACAATTGGGGTAGAATTTGGGCATTGAAAATATCGCAACGCTAATTAAAAAATCGCACGATTAATCAAGATCGCAACGCTAATTTATAATATGAAAATTCCAAACGCGTTTGACGTCCATTATATGTGTAAAAGAGTAAAAAAGCAACGCGAATCGTGATTGTTCGCAACACTACCCTGAAAAGCAAACGCGAAAAATAGTATCTCGCAACTCTACGAGCAATCGCGTTTATCAATCATTCGCAACGTTATTTTTAAGCAAACATTCAGTACCTAAGTACTGAAGCAAAAAAGCAATCGCGTATCGTGTTTAGTCGCAACGCTACCCTGAAAAGTCAACGCGAAAAATAAGAGTTCGCAACTCTAAAAGCAAACGCGATTATTGCATATTCGCAACTCTATGTATATCATAACCGCGGGTTATGGGGAGAGATGGCTGGCATGTATGGTGCAATCATGTACGAAGTACATGCATACGTGAGCCAGCCAGAAAAATAAACTAACTACAACTACAGACGAGTTAAGTGACAAAGTAGAAACAGGAATGGCTTTGCATTCTCATCCGAAGATGAAGATGCAAAGCCATTTGTTGCAGCCAACTCTTGAAACAATTTGTCAAGGCCTCTTCAGCTCATTAAGAGCCTTTTCTTTCTTCGGCGGTCCTGCCGATGTCTGAAACTTATTTAAAACAGGGCTCGAGATTTTGTGCAATACGTAGTCTTCCAACAATATACGAATTGTTGGTCAAGCGTACGTGGTGAATCTCGAGGGGGACGAACGTTTCGAAAGGGACCTAAACACGACCGCGAGCGCGAAAGAGCGACTTTAAGAGTCGCGCGATTCGAGGAGTCGAAAATAAAGCCGAAACAAACAGCACATGTACACCGTTTGAATCAGCAAAATTTCTACTCTCGAAATCGTAACTACAGGTACAGAACTGCCACGCGAAAACGCGCCTACCCGAATTACTAATGTGGACAGTCCTGCCCTGACCCTACCTACTTAGATTAAGCACACACACACCAGAGAAAAAGTTACCTACCTACCTAAACCTATATTTAAAAAATTGCAAAACTCATTCTCGCAAACAAACACTCCACGGTTCTCACGCATAATATTCGGGCGCGACCTAAACTAGAGAGGATTCCCCGGGGTTCCTCCGACACCCGAATATTGCAAACATTCACACTCTAATTGTGGACTTACTGGTTTCTGAGACTGACAATGGCTAGTGATCTTTGCGTACTTATATTATATAGATAAACGTTTGTATAGAACGTTTCAATATATGGAATATAGTCTTTAATAAAATCTATTGCATAAATGTATCATTAAAGATTGAAAAATATTAAGATTTAAATCCATTAAGATCAACAGTTTTCAAATAAATGATAAATTGAAATTTGATATTATTATTGATAAAAATCTAATGTTATAAAATTCTGTATGTAAATTGCAATTCTAAAAACATCTGAAACGACGCACTTCCACAACCTAACCACACACACACATGTGGACAGTACGTCGCGCACGATTCACTAGCCAATGTCAGTCGCCAATATATCGTTGAATTATTATAAATAAAGTCATCGTGCCCCGTTGCCTTCGCTCATGCAAATAGCACCTGGGCATGTGCATGAACTTAGGCAACGAACACGGAAAAATTACTCTGAAAATCCTGACTAGAAAAACTGATTAATAGCTAAACGGTATTTCGTATCTAATTTTTAGTTCAAATGACTCGACTTGTTCTATGTAATATATCAATAATAAAAGACGCTAATATTGAAAAATACTACTATTCAATAAAACTATTATAAATGAAATTGAATTATTTAAAATGAAAGACTCTACTTGAGATTTCATGATAAAAGAATTTACTTTAAAAATTGAAATGAATTCATTAAATTGTAATTCAAAATATTCAACTATTCTTAGTCGATTCTATCGTCAAAGTAAATTTTTTAAAAGATTGAAGCTAGTATAAAATGCATGTTACTTTGACTCAAAAATCGACCTGTCGCGAAATGCCTTCTTGCACTTTAAATACATCGTACGATGTATTGATTAAGTAAACGATCGCAATACAATGTAATAATAATTATCATTCATTTGTAAGACTAAGAAACGCGAGTGCAAGAAGGCCCTAATACCTGCTCTAAACAATATAACAGTTGATGTTACTACTCACGGGTATTTTTCATACCCGCGGTCACTTAACTCGTCAAAAATACTAAGTATACAACTGGTCACCCGTGTTGATTCGGATCTTTCATCCTACAACATGGTTGGGGACCAGAGGAAACAAAATAGCATGCGACTTACCAGTGATGACTTCAAGTCCTCGAAATCATCCATCAGTCATCCATCAGTCAGATCCATGGTCCTGCTGGTTAGATTCAGGTCCAGAGACTGTAACAAAAATGCAAGAAAACAATTAGAATCGATTGTTAAAATTATAGAGATTTTTAATTAACAAATTTCAAAGTATAAATTTATACTTACGTTGTTCGCTCGTGGTCCACCGCCCGATACTCCCCGAGTACTGCTACTGGTTCCCAGGATCATGTTCAGAAACTGTAAGAAAACTGTAAGAAAACAATTAGAATCTATTGTTAAAACTGTAAAGATTTTTAATTAAAAATTCCAAAGTATAAATTTATACCTACATTGTTTACTCGTGGAGCATCGCCAAATAATCCTCTTCGGTGATGCACCGACTCTAATTCCGGTAACGAGGAGTTTAAATTTCAAATTGAAAAAATAATTAATTTGATTGGAAAATATTAAATTAGAATACCGCGACCGAAGATTGAAATCGGCGAACAAATGACTCTACTATCGCGATTCAGAAAACATGAAGAGCCGCGATGCTCTGTAAATAATTTAATACCGCGTAAGAAACACTGCTTCTATTCTCGCGTTTGTCTAACACCGTGAACGATAACGTGCTTGGGGTCACTTTGCCCCGAAAAACAAACTTGATTGCTACGCACAATCACTGACTCTACCGGCCGCATTGCGCTCGGCCAACAAATTTCCTGGAAAGAAAAGACCTGAAAAGAAAGGGACAGGAGACAAGAAATACAACACAAGCACACGTGTGCTTTGCCTATCGATTTTCTTATTCTTTCTTACTAGAGTTTTACAAAGGAAACACTGCTTTACTATGTACTGCTGTATACATAGAAATATTCTCAATCAATGAGAATTTCAACGAGAAAATTGTAATTTATAAATACTATATCACCAAGTTTCATTGTTAGAGTTGTAAGCATGATTATGCAAGAATGTTAGAATAGTAAGTTTTATAAATATTCCGAAATTTGCAAGAATTAAAGTTCGCTAGTTATTTATGCTTGAATATTGCAACTACGCAGTTAGTACGTTTTTTGAAACTTGCATCGAAATATATATGCAAATTGCAATTGCAATAATTCATAAAGAAATGTGAAGAATTAATTAAATAAATAACAGTCCGGAAATATTTAATCGCGATCAGAATACAGTATAATATAAACTATTGCAATGTATCGTTAATATCTACGCCATTTCTAGTTCGATATATATCGAAGTGGATGAAAAGTTTGTTAAGAATTTTGATATTTTATCTTAACAATGACCGATTATAAAATTGGGATCATGCTTGAAACGAATTATTTTTGTTATAATTGTTACCAAAATATACCCTCAAAAATTAGTCGACTTGTCCGCCATCATGGTGTACTATAAGCGCCAATGAAGCTTCCCATGGCGTCGAGTTTCAATCAGAGACTGCAACAGAAATGAAATACAAGTTAAATCATAGTTAAAGAATGATCGATTGTAACGAGGAAGCAGCAAAAGGTTAGAAATACGCACCTCGGTCGCGAAACGCCGATCGTGTTGACGTCGAAGGATAAATGAAGGCCATCCGCTGTGCTCGGTAATGCTCGCGGATTAGGCGGCGGGGTGGGGATCCCCCGATGTCTCGCGAAGCTTGTTTACGCACCCGAGGGGCACCTCAGGTAGAAACCGCGGATAGAAACCGATTTTTTGCAAGTTATTTACAACTTTAACTAGTCAAGGAATCGCGAATAATACGTATGTACTTTTAAACTCGTATTACACGCACAAGCTGCTGCCTGTCACACTAATTGAGTGAGTTTCTCAACTGACCGCTGTCCACGAGAGGTCGCTAAAATCACCTCCGAACTTTCCAGGTCGGTATGGCAGATTTGACCGCGAAAGTTCATTCGGTGGCCGAATCTGACTGCCATACCGACCTGAAAATTCTCATGGATGACGATTCACTGAATTAATATTGATAGAAACATGAATTTTATTTACCTCTTAAACTCCTGTTCACTCGAATCCTGAATTATCCTGAACGCTAGAAGTGGTCTGCCGTATCAATCGTCGTTTTAAAGAATTTCTAACGACTTCCTTCTAGCAGAAAAAAGATAATACAATTTATTTGTACCACGAATTTGTTTGAACGAACGAGTTGCATTTTTAGCGAGTTTCGCGTTTGGTAACATTAATAGCGTCGCGTGAGAAGTTTCTATTCTCATCGAATAACCGGGGAGAAAAAGAAAACGAACGCGTACAAGGAGTCACGGAGTTGCAAGAATGTGACTTTCGAGTTCGCGACGTGTTCGAGCAAAGTTTCGCTCGTTAGCGCGATCTAATGGAAGTTTGAACGCTTGAAAATCAAGGGATGGTGAAACTGCTATCTTTTGAAAGCATCTACGGAGACATAGTCTGTTAAATTTACCTTTTTCTGAACTTTGTAATTTTCGCGAGGAATAAAGGGTGCATAGCAATGGTCGAAGGATCTTGGTATCTATTCGCCATTGTCGCGTATGCTAATCGATTGTACTTTGTTCATTTCTTTAAATTAACTGAGCTGACGGTGTATTTAACAGATACAATAATATAAAATTTGTAATTATTGTTATACCTTTACTGTCCCGTAATTAGCGTAGGAACCGGAAATGGGAGTTTTTCTAGGATTCAAGATGGCCGGCGTAGGGGGCGCCTGGGTGCAGTGATGGATTTCGCGGGAATTTTTCGTCATGCGCACTGGAACGCACGATCACTGCCGTATAAGGAACAAAATTTAAGAAAATTAAAGGAAAGAGACAAAAACTTAAAGCTTAATAGAGATTATTTTCTTAGTATAGCTAGAGAAATACATAGGGGATCTTTAATAGGCTAATTCTTGTGTAATTTGCGAGCATTTAAAGTAGAAAGTTCAATTTTATACAAACATGCACCTCTTTTTGCGGTAGAGATACATCTATGGTAGCTGTGACGTCAGTTTACGCATGCGCAGAAAGGAATCCCACGAATGTGCATCACTTACTCCCACCAATCACGTTGCACTGCAACATGACGTCACTCGTGGCTCGTTTGTGGGCCATTTATCGATGAATTGCGCACACCTGGTGTAAACAGATGAAAAACAATACCAAACGATGATTTCTTACGATTAAATTAATTTATTGAAAAAATTATGTCCCATCGGAAAATATATTTTTATAACTAAACCATAAAAAATGATAACTTAACGCAAGTTAAAAGATTTCGTACACCAGTCGAATAGAACAGAGCCTGTCGCTTGTCCCTGTAACGCTGAAATATCATACTGCATCCAAAATTACTTTATTAAGACGCACGTGAAGACAAAGCGTGATTACTCAATCATGAAATCACAGTTATAGTATAAAAATGTCTGCATAAATTAATGTGCAGAGTGTTCTGCATCTATGTTTTCAAAATTTTACGGGGTAATTCTAGAGACCAAAATCTAGAATAGTAATTTATTAATAACTCTTAAACGGAGCCCCAATTAATAAATTATTATTCTTTCTTAAATTTTTGAGATGCCGAACATCCTATATACAATTATGGTGAATTCTCACGCAAAAGAAATCTCGTAATTTTGATAGCGGATCGTAAGATTTTCAACACTGATTTATTCACGTACGTCGTATGTGTATTATCTATGAATAAATCATACGGTACCGGTGGTGATACGGACAATAAAACAAGACAGACACTGTACGGTGAACTCGCGTAAGACTAATTTCGTTCTACGAATACAAAAAATTATTTCACCTAAGTCCTCGCATTGTGTCTGTGTGCGTGAATACTAGAAGCATTTTTTTTTAGAACTAATTAAAATAACTTCGTTCTAACTATATGCACCCACATCGCACCGTTAGTAGTGGTTCTCCATTGCAAATTGCGATTCGGTATTAAATACATAATTAGATCGACGATTGAGTTTATCCTTTGCTCGTAAAACAATATTTATAAATTCATTGCTATCATACGCTACCTAAAGCCTTACAGACCTTAGCTATAAATTATTTCCAACATATACACATTTTTACAAAACAGCATCTCCCAGCCACACGTTCGCAACGAATAATTAAATTATAATTAACTATCGCAAGGAACAATTCAACGAAGATGACGCGATGCAATGCCGTCCGTTTAACGTTTAGAGACGATTCGATTGAACATCGTTTAATTGGTCGCACTGCATCGGTTATCTTTAAGGTACTAGCGTAAGAACTTTGTTCGCGTGTCACGGTATGTTTAATTCATCCATGGTGGACAGGAAGTCGGTGGCTGATATGTTTGAGAAATTGGCACCTGATAATGCTGCATCGTTTGAGGAGAATGCTGCGGTCGTTGTTGATGGTGTGGCGGTGGCGGTGGCGGTGGATTGCAAATTGATTGCATCAATGGGTGTGAATTATAAGGGGGAGGTTTTGTGGTATACGGTGGCATTTGATTATATTCGACGTTCAACGGATGCTCCAATATTGCATTTTGAACGGGCGAACGATTGCCTTCAACGTGTCCTGAATCACAGAAACAACAGTCAGTTACATTGTACTTAAAAATTAAGCAAGAGTTGAAGACGCAGAGTCACAAATTAATTAGAAATTATCTTTGTACTATCACCACTCTGGGTACATCATTTCAGAGACCTTTTCAAATATTTATTATGCATCATTTAAATTGTATTTAAATGTAAATTCATTGCTCGCTGTAAATACCTCTGGGTCTAATTTGAGGCGGTGGCATATTGGTTGGAGGTAGAACAGGACACACTCCTTGATGCTCTGCGTCTCTTGGCATCGGGGGTGGTCTACCCCATGGAACCCTGACATGATGAATCTGCCATGGTGCTTGTGGCGGAAGCGGCGGAGGTAGAGGCGGACCACCTCCAGAATGAATGTTCACCGAATCTTCTATTTGATTCTGCTCATTTCCTATCGCAGAAACATATTCGCATAACGGAAGTTTCTTTGCGGTTCGCAGGACATAGAAAATACTGTATACTGTAACAAATGTTAAGTATACCTGAACTTATGCCAGCAGACTTTTGGTCCATGCTTCGTTTTTCACCTAAATCATGGAAATTCAAGATATGAAAAGAAACGTATAGAAAGATATGGAAGATGGAATATAAAGTGCATCGGAGAATTAAATATGGCAAATAATGCAGTGAAATATTGTAATGCAATTTATTAACTCAATAAATTTTCTAAAAAATATTAATTTTCAATTTTTGTTAATATTAAAGACAAAGGTACTTTCCTCAAGGATATTTTATATATATTTAGTCAAAAAGCAAATACTAATAATCTTATTTTTGTGCTCAAAGTGTTATTTGAACTTTTCAAATAAAGTTTTAAATAGTTTTACTATTTAATAACAATATTTCACGCCATTGACCATTTCTAACTAACAAAAAATAATGATTACAATCACTATATGCAGCTGAAAACAAATAATAGATATGTTCACTGTATCAATTATGGGAACCACCATTATCATTCTGATCTGGCCCTTTTATTTTACACCGTTTAGCTGCTGGTCCGTGATCTGAAAAACGAAACTCATTATTTAACATTTATTTTCATCTACAAAGTCCACATTTCTAGTTAAAGCTATCAAGATCATAAATGGATTCGCTGTAAAATAAAAATAAACAATAGAATCAATAGTACGGAACTGTTCTGCAATATCTAACGCATTTCTGTAAATTAGCTGCACATAAAAAGAACTAGATTAATAATTTCTAAAGTAAGAATCATTAATATTAACACGGTAATATGCCCTGCTAGTTCAGCTTCGGAAGTCAGATCCGCAGACTAAATGACCTTGATATTTTAATTCGTTAAAGTTAAAATACTCATATTAAAACATATAATACATTTTTAACATAACACGAATAATAATAATTATAGTTAATACAGATAAAAAGTAACGACTGAAATGTAAAATCACTTTTATCGTACAGAGATCTGAAAAACATGTACATTTTAATGAAAACCATATTATGAAAAAGCAGTAAAATTAAGGCACGCAAGTTAAATGTTGTAATTCTATGGCAAACATTTTGTTAATTCTAAATAATAATAAATAAAGTTAAATAGAAAGCTAACTATTCTGTAATATTATAAACCTTGTAGGTATTACTGACGGCCATCTGTAAAATGTTTGAACGAGTACATGATGAAAGCAGATCGCTAAGAGATGTATCGATTAAGAGTAAGAAGAAATTTATACCGTTTAGCAAAAATAAATATTTACAGTAAGTAATATACTACAGGCTAAGAGTATTGAGAAACAATGCTAGATACCCGTCTGAAATGAAAATGCAAATCACTGAATTATAAACGTAAAGATCAATAATAAACATTTTTATGTATTACTAAGTTTATGACATTTACATAGAGAAATGTACTTTATTAATAAATCCAGTGCACATCATTTTATGATTATTATTTATAAGATAACATATTGTATTGAGTTTCAAAAGATATCCAGCACTCTTTCATCTTGAATACTCTTAGTTACAGACCTGGATGTGGAGGTGGCATTAGCAGCTTGTTTCGATCACCATGAGGCAGACCCGCAGCTGTTGATGATGGACCATGCAAGACCTGCTGCTGTCGATCACCTTCTCTGCTTAAACAATTCATTTTCAAATTATTAAATCACAGTTAATTATCATAGATAAACATTTCATAATTTAAGCAAATATCACCTGATGCACGGCCATGGATACTTCTGAAATGTTAAAAATACCTGGTGTAAACCAGGTCATAGTTAATGATACTAAACTTTACGTAAAGTCTACTTATTTCTATTATAACTTAACAGCACAGAATATTATAATATTAGAAGTATATTGTTTTACATGTAATCTGTAAGATAGCAATTATATTTGCAAATAATATCTTTTTTTAACCGAGAACTTATAACTAGTAATAAAAATATGTATTATATACAATCTCCAACGTGACAACAGTACTGATAACACGATAGAACTATAAGCGAATCATTGTTTTTTCTTTTGCTTTATATTTGCAGAAAAGATTTATTTCAAGGAAACCATATAAATACATAGATTCTTCGTTCGACATAATATTCTGTGAAAAAAATTTGTTATATTCACAATCATTTACTTTAAACACTTTTACTACCGGATGTACATTTGTATCGATTTGACGATTTATTACAAGTAAAACAATTCCTTTAAAATAGTTTGATTGTGAATACGTAGAATTCTCACTACTAAATTATAGCTTGGTCACAACAAGTCAACGTTCCTTACTCTATATTATCAGATATTTTTCATTTTTATGTAGAAGAAGCAATCTAAACGTTATTAAATCTTTTAAAATTTGAACGCGTTCTCTTCCTATATATTGACTTTGGTACATCTTGATCAAAGCAAGTTTCTGAAAGAAATTTAATGTATCGCAGTGCATCTGTTCAAGCACATTATAATATAGAATAAAACGACTGCATTTAACTTACAATTTTTATATCTAAATAATTATCTATAAAGCAGCTTTTAAAAATTATGGAAGTCTGCAATGTACATAATGTAGAGGAAGCGGTAGGAATGTGAGATACACCTTTTGTTTTTTTACCTGGAGGCTCTCAAAATTAAAGAATTTTTCTAAATAAATTTAGAGAATTTCTAAATATCGTGTACCTTATGAAATCTTTCAATTTTTCGCTATTTCTAAATCTATGCAAAATTGGACGTCTAGAAAATGGGGTGGTAATATGAGACAGAATTACTTTTGTGGGAAATAAGTTCTGAAACTGCGTTAGAGGGTAGTTTGGATAACATACAAGTACAAAATATGTAAATACAATTATAGTTTATGCAGTTTTACAATATTCGCATATACATGTTTCTGAACCTCCGCAATCACGATGGGCCCATAATTGACCGGACAACATTGAATCCACAGCTCACCCTTAGCGTCTTCAGAAAACTTAGCGTTGCGAAATATGCAGACTGCATCATTCGATCCTGGTCGAAGCTGCACAGGTTAACTAATATCACTGTTTGATAATATCAAATGTCTCATATTTGCTACCATTTCCCGCCTTTACGTTTCTCTCATTCTATTATTAATTAAACGTACAATAACTTAAAAACCCCATTGATACTATGAAACTGCGATTATCATAGAACAACTTACCTTTCTGCTTTTCTTTATAATCACAAAATAAATAACAGAGAATTGCACTTGAACACCTACACGTAAAAACTTTCTGTTGCATCGGAAACAATAAACGTCTGTTAAACAATGGTATAGCGATACATAATAAAAGCTTCTGCTATACGACGTTACTACGATCTTAATATTTCATTTTCCATATAGCTCAAAACCATAGTGTCTCATATTTCTACCCTATTTCATAATCCTACCTTCTCCTCTACTAATAAACCAAATAATTAAAAAAAATATATATACATGTTTCTACAACCGTCAATATTACATGGATTTTTTAAATTAAATTTATCTAAGTATTATATTAATTTCACTGCCAAAGACAGACGTGTGTTATTTTAATAATTTAAATATGTATTTATTAAGTAATTAAAATTCTTTAAACCTGCTTTATTCATGTTAATTCACTTACACAGGCATGTCAAATTCAATTTTGCCCGAGAGCCAATTTTTACCAACTCCAATCATTGCATCATAAACAAACATACGTGGAATTGAAAAGAAACCAATAATTTCCACAGAGATAAGTAAAAGAATACATTTATTTGTAAGAAAGCATAAAATACATTGGCGATAAAGTCTTTTGCATAAATAACATTGTTTCGTTTCTTTTTTTCAATACTTGGCATTGTTTTCAAGACGCTAAATTGTCAGAATTTAGTTTAAAATCTTGAATTGAATTAAATAAACTATATTTGAAAAAAAATAGACATAAATACAAAATATCAATCTTATCTTACTTATCTTTTCATAGAAATCAATAAATTTATTTTACAAAATTCAATAGCCTTGTTCAAACTCATTTACACAATCAGTCGTAAACTAAATTATAAAGCAGTGATCGACATTTTTTAATTTGATCTGTTGGAACTATGTTTACATTGGATAAAAAGTTTTCATAGTCGTGAACCCCAAGTTATGAAATTGTATATATTATACGAGTGACAAAACTACGCATAATAAAAAAATAAAATAAATTAGTCATGAATTAGGCAGCATGCGGCCCGCGGGCCGTGTATTTAACACGCCTGCTCTTACATTGTCGTAAGAATATCGCTTATTAATTATAAATGTGATAACTAAATACAGGATTAGAGTAAAACGTTTATTACTTTACTTACCCTGTTCCATGACGCTGAGCAGGTAGTGGACCACACTGATACGGCGGTGCTTCCTATTATTTGTACAAAAATGTACTCTCAGTACTTTGCAAAATAACTTTCTTTAACCGTTTGAGTACCAGAGGTAATTTCCAAAGGTTATAGGTTATAGTTTGGGACTCAAACGGTTAATTTTTAAGCATTAAAGTTTGAGAGCTCACCGGGTTTGCTTCAACGTCTGAGAACCTTCTCTTTACGCCATGAGATTTCTGTTCCGGTGAATCGGGCTTTTGATCGAACTGTTGAGGCGGTGGCTGAACCGTATAGTGTACTTGTGGAGGTAAATGACCATTTTGATACTGCATGTGCTGAGCATGATACTGTATCTGCGCCTGAACTTGCGGCGGAGGTACATTGTGTAAAGGTATATTTCCTGGTGGGATCTGAACCTGTGAAATCAATAGTTTATTTCACCTTTGTATAAATGTATATTTCGTTGGTCTAAACGTAATGACGTCACCTGCAGTTGACCTTGAGGTTGCAACATTTGTTGTGGTTGTTGCGCTTGATACAACCATGGAGCATTTTGCGAAGGAGGTGCTTGCGTCGGTGGAGGAATGCTGGTAAGAACATTCATAGAATTTGACATTTGAGCAGCCGATGGCGGTGGTACAATTTGCGGAGGTGGGACCGGTTGAGGCTGAAGTCCCTGATCCACCGGTCCTTCCTGTTGATGCTGAACCTCGCCTCCAGGAGGAAGATGATGTTGGGGTGACTGGGCATTAGGGACTAAGAACGTTTGAGTAGACGGAGGAGGTACTTGCAAATGAAATTGAGGAACATGACTGTCGAACTGCGGAGGCAACATGTGTTGAGCCACAGCCTGAGATTGTTCATGATTTTGTTGCAACTGCGGTGGAACGATATGTTCACCGGGTTGCAACACAAACTGCGTCTGCGCTTGCGACACCGGTGCTTGCACTTGCTGATACTGTATCTGGTAAGTCTGTGGTACAGGCGGCGGTGGCTGGTTTGGAGGAAAGTTTGGCGGTGGAAAATGTAGATGCAGCAATGGCGGAGGCGGTTGTTGAGTTATATTAATCGGGGCAGCTGGAGGCGGCTGTTGTAAATTCACGTTCACGGCTTCGATTATTCCTTGCGGCGGTGTAGAAGGCCTTTGTATGTTTGGTTGCGTGTACACGTAAGAAACTGCACCGCTGACAGGCGCGCTACTACTTGTAATAAAGTTCTGCTGAGCTGGACTCTGCGGCGGTGGCTGACTCATGACGTACATTTGAGTAACAGGTTGTGGCGATGACTGTGATCCAGATTGAATCCCTTGAATTTGCAGCGGTTGGCCAGGATGAATTTGATATTGTACTTGACTTACTGTCGACGGAGGACCAATTAATTGCACTTGTCCGACCGGAGGAGGTGGCATGAAAGTTTGTATTTCCTTTGCACACAATACATCATTACATTAAAGAATTTTATTTTACGTAGCTACCGAGTATTTTCTTTTCTTATTCAATCTCATTAATTATCTTAAGAGCATTGATTTTTTATATTCGAATTTTACCTGAGCTTGCGGCGGTGGTACCAATGGCCCAGAATGAGGAGGAATGTGTACTCCAGGCGGAGGAACTGTTATACCAGATCCCGGCGCACCAGCTACCGTAGCAGTGAGAATCGTTGCTGGCAATGTTACTACGCTACTTTGTGGATGTTGTATGATATCTGTTAAATAACAATGGTTTCGAACGGTTAAAGAAAGAAACTCGAATAGCCATGAACTATTAGCGTACGTGCTCTACCTTGATGTTGTATAGTAACAACATTAGGTTGTCCCAAAGTACCAATGTTCATGGTTTGAAATTGTGCTATAAAAAAAATGAAAATAACCGTGGTAAAAATGTATGATCATATTCGATGTTTATTAAGTGAAATTAGAATTCATACTTTGTTGTATTTGCGACTGTTCTATAACTTGCTGTGATTGTACTGGTGGTGGTTGTTGTTGTATGTATAATTGTAATTCAGACTGCATTGTTTGAATCAAATTAATCGCTAACTGTTTTGCATTTTGCAGTGCTTCCGGTTTTGGATGCCTGTACAAACAAAAGATATGTGTTTTGACGTTACGAAAATAAAAAATTATCGTTTAAAAAGGAATACGCCGATGATCTTACTCTATGTATAAATGTAGCGGTTCTGGGGATTCAGCTCCTGAAGCCGGATGAATGAATTGCGACCCTCTACCTCTTAAAGTTACATTTGCACCAGTTTCCCCTCTAATATACAATAAATTAGCTCCACCTGTACCTATAATTCTACCTCGTAAATCAAATCCCTCGGGAGCATTTTCTATCCCGACGCAAATCTTTTCCTATTCAAATTATGTTAATAACAATAAATAAAAGTATAGAATTTATTAAAATACCGCACACCCCTAGTACTATGTAAAAATATCGCTTACCACCGATGTAATTCCAGAATGTAAGCTCATGAGAGGCGGCGGTGCGTTAGTAAACCTACTTGGCCTATTTAAAGAACTCTGATGTTCTGTTTTAATGATCTCATTAATTTTTTGTATGGCCACTGAAAATAGAAAAGGTAGTTCTAAAGAACTTATCGCTAAAATTGCAAAGATTCAAAGGAAAATAACGTACGGTCTACATTGTGTTTCGTATGGCCTTGTATGTATAGGTACAGAGGACGTTCGTTCGGACATCGTAATTTTTCTTGTTCCGTCATGAAACGCCCACGTGTTGAAACAGTAGCCCCTAAGAATATTTACTTACAAAGTAAACGACAATAGGACAAGTATTTAGTATTAGGGGGACCGGAAAGTAATGTCGTCTATCGTTGTCCAAAGTTGTTGGTCTTCTTTTAAGATTTAATTATTTACGAGTAAACGAGTAAATGACAAAGAAATATCTACGCAGGAACGACATTACTTTCCGGGTCTCCCTGATACAAGTAAATGCGATAATATACCTGAATAAGAATTGATTTCATCTTGTATATAACCCTTTGTAAGCAATGTGCGGGCACTAGGTGGTATTTCGTTAATTTCAAACTCTGATGTATAAGTTTCTCCATTTTTAAAAATTGTATTAGAGGCTGTTAACTATTTGTTATGAAAAGTGCATTAATTTGAAGAGTATTTACAACGTCGCTAAATTATTTCGTTAATGTACCTTGTTATTGGAGTCTGAGCCCCTCAATTTTCCTTTAGTCATGTGGATGAAATATGTATAACCTTGTCAAATATTATTTTTTTCATAACGTCAACATATTCATCCGAGTATTCTCTTCTTGCACTAAAAGAAATTAACAAATAACTGTATTGTTTAATAGCTTCCCAGCCATTCGTACATACATCACGTATATTGTACAAATATAGGTTATGATTGGTGGCAATAAATCGCCAATTAAGCACCGATGGCTTTAAAATGTATCGTCATATATACTCGATCTTTTAATAAATACTAAATGTGAACCACGACTTCATATTGAATTAATTAATAATCGAAACACTGTCGATATCGAATTTCCTAGTAATTTAGTCAAAATATTAACCGACACTACTAAATAATCATTCACTATCCTTTTAGTACCATGGCTGTATGAGACGCTGACACTGACAAGCTTGCGCGCATCAGATCAAGCTAAAGCTAATGCAGCCATGTTTTTTTTTACGTATATTAGTAACAAAATGTTACTAATAAAATTTAAAGATATTTTATTACTAACTATTAGTTATTGAATAGTTTTAGTCGTTAAAAATAAACTATCTCTTAATAGAAATTTGTTGTATCATGAAACAATGATAAATAAATTTAGACGATAAAACCAACTTGGCCAAATATATGAACCAACCATTTGACAATAATGTTTCGTAGAACAAATAGTTTATTTAATTTCTTAATATGTAATAATAATACAATTAAAGTACAAACAATAATTGCACACTATAAATCAAAATAGCATGCTGATACACAGATTTTTATTGTGCAAATATAGATGAATTATGTTTAACTAGTTTACAGAGTTATTCGGTACATAGAATAACAGAAAGATTTATTGTATTTGAAATATAACGATATATTGCTTTTTTGTTACTATATGTATATAGTAAGTTGTATAGTTGTTTTAACAAAAATAACAAAAATTATTCACAATGCATAGATATATGTTTTTTTATTCACTTCTTCAGAAAAATATTTTCATAAGCTTCAAAGTTTATTATATTATTATTTTATACAGAGTATTGATGATTTTTAGTATAAAGTTCAACTTTATATTGCATCATTATATTTTACAGAAAAAATGCGTTAAACGAATAGATCTTTTAAAGAACGATAATGAGAGTCTATTAATTTACCACTCATGTAATTGTTTGCGGACATAGAAAAATAAATTGTCTTCGGGTCGTAAATATTAATATTTGTAAACTTGTTCCATGTACAGCTAACTTCTCCAAGTTTGTTCAAAATTATGTTTAAGCCCTTGATTGATTGTTTATCGTGAGGTTTAATAGGAGACAAAATTTTATTTAAATTTGAAGAAATCAACTTCTCTTTAGATTTATTTAATATATCCGATTAATTGAAAAACAAGTGATTTATTTTATCCTTGGTTTTACAACACTGGCACGATTTCAGTCTCTTCTCCCAATAAGGCCCTTTTGTGGTCAATAAATTTCATTCTCAAAAACATCCATCATTTTCCTTATAAACACGAACTTGAAAGAGCAGTTAATATACTTATAGTTCATTTAATGTAAATCACTGAACTTAATAATGATAGAATATATAATTGACAAAGAAAGTGGCATATAAAAACTTTGTGTACAATTAAATTTAATATAATAAATTTTGAAAAACGATGTTGAAGCTGATAAAGGGAATGTCGTTATTATGTACATAAGTTATTAAGTGTAAAATATAAGCTCAGGGATTTGTCCTTTATCGGTGGTGGTTCCATTATAATTTTCAGCTTCAACGCTAAATTCAAACTTAACTTTTCCATTTCCTGTACCACTGTCTGCCATAACCGTTTTTATACCCTTGGTTCCATAATGAGAAAAAGGACCCTGAAATCATTACGACGTAATATTAAACATTAAAAACGTAGTAAACGTTTTAAATATCTTTATACGGACCTTAAATGTTGCCGACGCGGTATAAATCGTTTTTGGTAGAATATCTATTAATTCTGTGAACATTAAGCGATAAGTGTACTTTGAACCGTCGGAGCTAAAACTTGTTGAATTTGTAGCGATCACTTTTCCAGATGCGGTGTGTATCAACTCTATTAATACTTCGTATATTGCTGGATCATGCATACTACCATAAACCCCATACCCGATAAGGAATATACGTCTGTCGACGCTGAATCTAAAAACAAACGAAGAATCAAACACTTTTGCATATAATAATAACAAAATTAATAATAAAAAAATTTACCTTATACGATCACTCGTACCATTATAACCCCATCTACTTTTGGTATCCTGAAATCTGCATACGGTTTGTTCCTTGCCAGTCATACAACAGCGGGGTGTTGTTTGAAACCCAGCCACAGAGACTGGCTTTGGATTTATTATAAAATATGAGAACATTGGGAGGACCTAAAACATATTCTTTTATTACTATAAAGCAACGTATAATAAATAATATAGTTATAGTAGTAACCTCCGAATAATTCAACAGTCCAGATTGTGCTGGACCAGTAGTAAACTCTTCTTTGGACATTAAAGGAAAACGTATTAATGAAAAAGCACTTCCCAAGACTAAACGTTGATTTTTTGGAGTGACTGGTAATTGATGCCTACTGCATTCTGCCTCTGACCATCTATTCGGAATAACAAATATATACATACATAGTGCGCGGGTAATTAATCATATATTTGCATACCTTAGAACTGTTTGGAATATTATAGATTCTCTAACGCGTAGAGTATCTCTTTCTAAAACAATCTTCAACGTATCGATATCGATATCTGTAAATCCATCCGCATTCAATGCTTCCGTAGTAAATCTGTCTATAGTATCCAAGCACATTGCAGCCAATTGAGGTTCGTCGAATAGGCGAGCTTGCGTTAGAAGTAAGAAAGCATTATCACTGGTTAAGTTACTCTTCAAGTAATCCACGCAGTGTTTTTCTAAAGCAGACACGGCGTATTTCTTTGCTGTATATAACGTCATTATCACACTTTCAGGATCTATCTCTATCTTATCTGTATACAAAAAGAGAAGCACTGCCAAAAAAGCTACAGGTTCTACATCAGGTACTTCTATTTCCGAAGAAGTTGTCGCAAGTGTTCCATTGAACATTGCATCGAAAACAACACTTCCAGAAGATAGGACTAGTTTATGAGCCGGTATACGTTGCTTTTGTGCTCCCCTTCCTACGATGAAACTCACATCCGACAATATCTCATTATTGAAAAGAAAGACGATTCTTTCACGTATCGTCGCCTTTGTACCCTGCCAATTGTATGAAACGGTTGCTTGACTATTCGTAGATATATTATCCAAGGCAACATTGTTCTGAGATCTTGTTTCCAAATGCAATGTATTCGCTGCATCCGTCAGAGGCCTACTAAAATATTAAATTTAATATAAATATAATTATTTCAAAGGTATTATTAAAGTTAAAATTATTTAAAGGCTTATTTAAACAGCTATATAATATATAACATACTCATCCCCATTCGAGAACGAAGATTCTCCATTTCTAGCCATAGATGAGGTCGGTTGATCAACAAGATTCATATTTTCCTGGGACTCGTCGCCATCCTCCTGACTTAAGCGTAAATTATGCAGTCTCGACACAGCATTTGGCACATCTATCAAGGAAGCCTCGGAGGACATTTTGAAACGTAATATCTCTCGGTGTACCGCTTCGTCTCATCTAATTAAAGCTATCGTATCAGAAAAAGCGGCACGAACGTTCTCATAAGTTCGCCCGCCTTGTTGCGATCAGCGACATCAAGACTACAACATTTTGATATTACAATTCACCGGTGAAAAGTACGTCGTTGTATAAAAGCATCTCTTCACCTGTTCACTGGCACCTAATTAGAACGTGCTCTGAAATAAATTGCTTCCGTCCGCAAAGACTAAATTGTACGTGGCTATTACGATAGTATATTCACGCACATCGACTCGATCGTTCCAAGATAATCCACAATTCGATTTGATGAGTGAACTTGAAACGAATTTCTTTCGTGATTAAGCCATCCGTAAATTTCTCTCATAATACTAAACAATAAATATGGTCTAGATTTGGTCAAACGATGACGTGTATCTGCGTTAAGGCAAACATAATTGGGAGGGTACGACTTTAAATGCATTTTTCTCTGAACTACAAAACTTACTGTTTTACAAAACGGTGTGCAGCATTACTCCAGTTCTAATTAATCGATTGCTTTGAAAATTTACAGTTATCTTTGCTATTATATTTATTAGGCATTGACGATCCGTTTTTCTCAAAATTGTCAAATAATTCTGAAAAATATTCGTAATAAGAACTCGTTTTTGTGTTAAAATTCGATTTTAAGTTTCAAATATCTGTCGCATTGTTAATTTTTATAGAAATTGAAATGTCTCATCGTCAATGCCTAGGACATTTATCATAGTTAATGGAGTATTTCGGTTTTTGTTGTACACAACAACCATTTTACCAGAATCCTGCACACCAGCTGGGCATCAAAACAAGAAGTGGCTCGGGGAACATGGCGCTGTGCAGGCTTAATTATGAATATTTTTTAAACATTGCCAAGGGTTTTTTTCAACATTTGTTATACCTAAATACGGTGCAAAGTTTCAGGATAATTGAATGCTTACTTTGTCTTCGGTGTTGCTTAAAAAAATGCCTCGTTTTCCATACCGCTAGAGGTACAAGACCCCTTAATGCAGACGAAGTACGATTAGATACGATCCATACGATGACAATGTATAGAACCATAGATAATTGTAGATAGGTATCTACCGGGGTTCAATTGTACCACTGTACAGCAGTGATGGACATTCGTGGGAATTTTTAGATAACTAGGGATCAGAATAGGGGAAACGAACGCTAAGCGGATGTTGCGCTAGGGAAAAGTTATTGCAAACTGAAATGCTCAACTCTTTCGCAGCGCTGATGTAGGAATTCTTCTTGCATCACTGTCCCTGAGTGAATCTCACTTATTTAGAGGAAAGTAATGCAAAGCTCTTAATATGGCTAGCGATAAAAAGTCGGGAAAGTCTTCGAAAAGTTCCAAGTCAAATGCAGAAATTTTCTCCGAATTTCAAATGCTTCGCAATGAGCAAAGAACAATGGCCAACAAATTATCAGAAATGGAGATGGAACTGAACGAACACAAGTATGAATTTTCTAACCTATATTACAATCATTGTATTTTTTGCATCACATTTTGTTTTGTGTCGTAAATAGTCATTAATAAACATAGTTGTAAACTAAATATTTTAGCAAATAATATATTACTACAGATTGATATTTTGTTAAATATCGAGAAGTTTTTGTAGTTAAAATATATATCTAATGTTTTAGGATTGTAATTGACACGCTAAAGAATGTAGATCCAAAAAGAAAGTGCTATAGAATGACAGGAGGTGTTTTATGCGAACGTACTGTGGCAGATGTAATGCCTGCGTTAGTGACAAACAGAGAACAGGTAAGACTTGTAAATACTTATGTAAGTATAAAATGTAAATGTTTTTTATCGTTTCTAGCTAATGAAAGTTATAGATGCTCTAAACGAGCAATTAACAAAGAAAGGAATCGAAATAAACGAGTTCAAGGAAAAGCACAATATTAGAATCAGAGGGCAACAGTATGTACAACAACAAAACGAAGACTCCAAAGAAGCAAAAAGAAGCGCCGTTGTTGTTAATTCGTTGTTTAACAATTATGCATAAAATCAAAATTTCTTTATAATACATTTCACGCTTACATTCAAATAATTCTTTGGCATTTATTTATTAAATCTTCTGGGAGAACGGTTTACTTGAAATGCATAAATATTCAATTCTCTTATAATTGTCTACTTTGCATAAAAAAAAATGGACCTTTAAGCAATTATTTTGGTCTTCTGCAGCCATTATTTCCTATAACATACTTTTACTACAGATTTAATATGGTTAATTTGATGTATCATTGTAAATTGTGAAACAAAAATACATAATTTAATAGTTAAATAACAAAATTGCTGTAAGAAAGAATATATAAATACTTTGCTATCTCATTAATTGATATTTGAAGAATGTTACGCGTTTGTATTTACGAAAACAAATAATTAAATATACATTAGTTTTATTTGCAAGAAAAATATTAAATTAATAGATTTTTGTTATAGATATACCGACATGAAATTAGATTTTTTTAAGTTTAAAGTTTCCATAGTTCTATTCAATATCAATGCTATGTATTCGTATAAAATTATTGTTCATGTAAAACAAAATGAAAAGTGTTTTTTATTTTGCATTAATTCCCTGTCACTAAACGGAAGGAAAACGCGAATAAAGCGTAGATACGAATACTCTGCTTTATTCGTGAGCATAAAAAATAAATTTATTCTTTGAAATAAGTATATATTATCCACATAGTGCAGATATCATTTCTGTTTAATCTTTTGCCTTAGAATTCTTGCAGTTTTTCACGTAAGAACAAATTATACTAGCAATAATATGCGTAAAGATTCAAATTTTCGTTTCTTCATAAATTACATATGAATAGAAATTATTAAATAGAGTATTACTTTAAAAATCTGCAATATTTGGAAGCAGTAAGTATTTAATTTACACAAGATGTGCGTCATATGTTTACATTCGATATAAAAGTAGGATGTTTGTACCAAATGGGTTAATACAGCATATTCTGTAAATAAAGACACCATTTCATGTACTATATAAACACTAATGTTCACGGTTCCATCTCCATACGGTAGCATCATCACAAACACATAATAAAACTGAACCATCCCTACTTAAACTAGTTTGACGTATAGGTACAGTACATCTAGGATGCTGAAGGGAATAACAACGAGCTTGTCCAGGTTCATCGACTTCCAAGTCCCATACATATGTCTTGCCTACTTGATTTCCTAGAGCTATCGTACGTTGCCAAAAATCCATTGAAAATCGTATAAACCATATATCACATTCTTTAAAGTCAAATCTATGTAAAACGGTAGCACTCGTTTCTCCATTTCTAAGTTGAGAATCTTCGAGACGTCCCGGTTTCCAACACACGATACAATTTTCACAAGATTTACTTAAAATGAAATCTCCATACCACTTAACACAGTCAACATAATTACGATGAACGTCCCGCGTAGTAAAGTCTGGAAAATGCTGAAGTATGGAATCGAAAGGTCTTCCATTACGACTAGGATTGCAATGATAAGATTGCTTTATGGCCTCCTGCATATCTTGTTTATCCAATGACCATAACTTCAAAGCATGGTCCATACCGCACGAAATGATACGATCTCCTTTCATATCAAAATCAGCGCTTAAAACTTCATCTCTGTGACCTTCGACTCCACCAAAAATTGCAATACACACATCAGTTTTTATATTCCACAGTCTAAGTGCATGATCTTTCGACGCAGAGAGCAATATATTTGGATCTTTAGGATGAATTTTTAATTCATTTATTGCATGACCGTGTCCGATATAGTGCTTAATGCAAGTCATAGTTACAGGACTAATAATCCTGACAACACCACGCGATCCTGCTACTGCTAGTAAAGGTTTTCCAGAATCGTCGTACGTCCAAATACAAGTATAAAAATTTTCTTCTGGATCAGGATCCGCATAGCATTGGCGTAATCTAATGTTACCTCCTTCTGGACATTCGTAAATGCTCACTCGATTACTTCCTACGGATGCAAATATTAATGGTTCACCTTCTTTTAAATGGTGGTTAAACTGTACTCCGAATAGTGGCTGCCCATGATCTTCCTTCACGCTACAGCAGTATTTGTATAAAGGTTTGTCCGTGCAAGATTTATACTTTGCTGTTTTACTTCTACGTCTGCCTTTTCTTCTGTAACGAGCACTGCGTGTAGGTGTATCGCTACGATGAGTACCAGCCGTTGAATTACTACCAATACTACACTCAGTTTCGTCACTGTCATTTTCGCTATCCTCTTGACTGGAGGTGTATGTTTGACCCTTGTTACTTGTCTTTTTCATTTTTATACGAAACACGCAACTTTAAATGTTTTAAAAATTATATATCTAGAATCCAACAATAAGCATTCTACTTATAATTTTTACTAAGTTCGCTAATTCATTATCTAATTAAATATAAATTTGCAGTTTCTGAAAAGAGAACAAACATTGATTTATAATTATGATATAATTATACTATATAATATAAACTTACATTGACATTTGAAAGCTCCATTGTATAAAAATGGTAAAATACTTGTTTCTTTTTACCTTAAATATTAAATTAATTTTAACTAAATATAATTAATTCTTGTAATTAAAATTCTATAAACTGAATTATGCGCTTACTTTACATATTGTCTCAGTCCTTCGATCGAAGACAAGAACTTTGTTTTTTTAGAGTCTGCATTTATGTTCCATGATACGTCATTCTTTTTCCTTTTTGCTCGAATGCCAACCTTTAGATACCTTGACGAGTAGTTCTGCTGAACCTACAAATAATACTAATTCTCAATATCCTTAATAATATAGTTTAATGTTTCAAACGCAAACATAACCTTATACAAATTTAGTTTACACTATTCTTCTTAAAATAACAGAAACACGTAAGAAAATTTATGAAATATTATAGTACCGTGTGACTTAATTATAGGCAACATTTTTACTTATTGTTAAAATTAAAATACATACACGTGGCGCTGTAAAATGTTACTGGAATAATCACATATGACAATCGACTTCATACTTATTTCACTTAAATTGACAGGTTAGTAACAGTATCACGATTATATAATTTTTTAGATCGGACATTCGGATAATATCCATTTTAACACAATCAATAATAAAAGAATAAAAACTGAAATGTTTTTTCAACTGTATACATACGACAAATTACTCAATGAACCGTAGATGTAACAAAAAACAAGGGATGGCACTTTCATTGAAAAGTGAAAACCTAACTCCGTGAGGTTACACTTTAGTTACAAGCCGGACCGCTAGTGGCGCTACTATTTTACTCCCTAGAAAGTACTATATAAAATGGAATTTTCAATAAATTAAAATTTACAAACATAACTAATAAAAATCATTATACTTTGAAATGGAAATTTAACTTGGATTACATAAAAAAGTATGGGATATTGTTGCATTAAATATAACTTTCTTTTTAATAGTTAATTTCTAATTTATTGAACGTTAAATTATGAATACTTGTAGTTTTGAACTATAATTTATTAAACAATCATTGTGTGTCGTAATTATTAATTTCTTTGAAAACTATCATTGTTTTTATTTTCTTTGATCGTAAATAAATTAAGACGTTCTTGTAGTGTTTTTAATTACACAAAAGAAATATTAATTTCATAGTAGAATATCAAACAAATAATAAGCCTTATTGCTTTATAATTTTTCTTTTAGAAAATAAATAATTATTAAACATTATGAAGGCATTAACTTTTTTTGCAGTTACTATACTTTGCGGTTATAATTATTTAAAACTTTTATTGCTAATGCAATTGATGTTATGTATTAATTTAAAAATTTCATAAATACACGAACGGAAGTAATTGTTTTTAATACATGTAACGTTAATTCGACGAAATGGATCACGTAAAATATTTCCTCTATTTTTAGAATAATATAAAAAACGAATATCAATATTAGTATCTTTTGAAAGTATTTAAAATTGTAAATTAATGAAGTTGCTAAAGTTTTAAAGAGTGATTATAAAATAGTAATAAAAAACGTCGGAACACAGCATAAAAAAGTGAAGAGGATGCTATCTAATAATTACCTAATTGAAGTATTTTCATCATATCATACTATGCACATGTAAAACTGACACAAAAGCATTGTTTTTTTGTAATTCTAACTACAGAAGAAATATTTTTGATGATAAAATAAGTATATCTTATATAATTAATAATGACTCATAATAGTTCATTCATATTCACAAAATTATAAGTAAAACTGTATAAAACTGTTACATATATTGAACAATATAAAAATGAATTTACATATTAATCTAACAATAAGATTATTTGAAAATGAAAAGATCCGTCACTATTAGGACTATATCAAAACTTAACAAGTACTTAATATACGATAAATAATAAATTAGTAAAACAGGTAACAAAAATAATGAAGATAATATAAATGTAAACTAATTACTATAAGATTAAAGTGTTACGCGATACAACACTTGAACTGGTATGTTAAAAGAAAAGATTCAAAGTACACGTTAATTGACTAGATTTGGAAATATCAATGAAACTTTTGTTCGATATACTTTTAAAGGAAAATAAATAAATTTAATAATGTCGAGTGAAAAAAAAAATAATAGGAAATGAAACTGATAAGAGGAATGTTTAATTATTTTTGTTCGTATTAAGTGTCACGTCCAGGGGTTCGTCGATAGTTTGCGAAGGACTGAGTTCTTGTTGAGGCAGTTGATGAAATAAAGTTGAAATCGGTTTGTGCCGAGGTGGACCCTTCACAGTGAGGTCCATCTCAGCTTCTTGAGGTCTATCTTTGACAGTTAGGCTTGTATCTCTTTCTACCGGACTACCACACAATCTTGGCGGGGAGCCGCAACCACATTTCATTCTTTCGGGAGACTTATCACAGGATACCGAATATCTGAAACAGGGAATTCATTTTTTATTATTACGTTTCAAGGCTCATATTTTGTAATTGTTATATTTGTCAAACTTATGGAAAATGATCGGTATGCACATAATAAGTCTCAATTTTTCCCCCCAAGATTTGATTTATATTTAGCTTTCTGTTGTAGAAACAGTGTTTAGTATCCTAATGTTTAATATTGTAACTTATTTTAATAAATAATTTGATTTCTTTGAAGATATGATCAGTTTTAGTCTGGACACATCAAAATTAACATTACAACAAACTAATAAAGATTATAGGGCATCTCGTACATTATATTATCTAAATTAAGTCTAAAAATCGGCATTCATAGCCGATCGATGTTACCTCGCATATTTCTAAAACAGTTTTACTAGCCCACTCTTCGTCAATGACACTTTTTCCATGATAATCAGACTAGTAAATAGTTGTAAATAGTTGCTTCATCTTTCATTATTTGTAAAGTAAAAGTGTTATTGTTCGATGGAAACCACGAGAAGGTGGTGGGTACTTCTTCCATCAGGAGAGGATAAATACAAGGCGGAGAGGATAGCAAGGATGAAATCATTTTTAACTGCGTACTTCACAGGTTGCAGGTAATGTTTTAGTCGAAACCGTCGCAGTGTGTTGAAACAGTTTTACATAAGTTGTTGTCCCGTGACACTATCGTTAAACTATGTAAATCACTAGTGTCACTGATTATTTAAACTGCTGTAAAGCAAGCTTGTTAACAAGCAGATATGTCTGTTCATGTCAAAGGTTAGAATAGATAGAATAGAATAATCGGACTGGCTGCAAATCGAAACTTCTAGAAGCATCTTCGTTATGGATCAATATTTGTCCTTTGATAATCGAAGTTTCTAGAAACTTTCCTCCATGGAACCGATTAATGCCAGAGTTGTAATCTAAACTCAAACTAATATAAACTATGAGACTGATATTTTCTGGTTCAAAATACTCCGCTATAAAGACAAGCATCACATGTAATGATCGCACAGCCGTTTCTTGTGGTTTTGGTATGGAGAAGATGGATAGAAAATACAGCGTATTCAGCCACCATTAGTCATCCTTTGAAGGGGGTGATTCTACAGACGAAAATAAGATGAAAATCAAGAATAACGATGTTCTGGTAGAAGTTTCGTCTTAAAGTTATTAACAACTAAAGATTTCGGATCACAATTTCTAAACAGCTGCGTGAACGAAGTAGATCACTCCGTAATGCGTCCAGTGGCAGCTGATTCACGGTTTTACGATGTTGAAAACGTACTTACCATCGTATTACCGGTTGATTTACCACAGTTAACACTTTACCGACCGATAGTCTATTAATCGACTGTTTTACCGACCGATAGCCTATTAATCAACCGCTACCGGTCGGTAAAGTGTTAAGCTCCGAGAGGTTAGCAGTTGGCAACGATGAAACCTGCTAGGGATTTTTTTTGGTACACGTAAAAGTTTGTCTAATTAGTTCTTGAGTCGTTGATAAAAAATGCCTTACTGCCCACCTCTCAAATTAACTGTTGTATCTCACAGAAAGAACGTCAGTGTATGATACACTAACGTGAATTAACACATCAAATTAATTACCCATGGGGAGGTGGAAGAATCCTGTAATCTCTGCAAACGGATACAGACGGTGTGCCAAGTATTTTGTCACTGTTGACCGATGTCAACGGTGGCCCATTGTTGCTGGCAGCAGTCGATGGTGGTGGTAAGGGTAATGGTGGTGGCGTTCCCGCGTCATGGCGTTCCATGGATGTTGTAGGTGGTGGCCTCAGAAGCAAGGGTGCTGCACTTCCCAACCCTAAACATCGCATTCTCCATGCGTCCTGTAGCAATTGCAGCCGGGCTTGTTTCCGCCATTTTGCGCGTCGATTTTGAAACCAAACCTAAAAGGACAATTAGATCAATTTCTTCAATGCGAGGCACGAATTAGTTCTCTTTCGAATGGTCTGACAAACAATCTTTCCTATCGAAGTTTTAATCAGTATTTTACTGACACGAAATTGCAGCTGCTTAAATTAAAAAAACAAATTGATTTTCGCGAAAAGCGGTCACCGTGATTGGTCAGCGTTTTTTCGTTAATAATTCGAAAACGAAGCCCCGTTCGACATTTTTGTAAAGGAAATTGTTGTTCAGAATTGTCTCAGCTACTTATTTACACCCTGCAGACCGATGAGAAGACGACGAGGCTAAGGAATGGGGGTCGTCGATAAGTCACACCTCATGCACACGCATTCTAGATCGTCGCGAGCTATTAGCCGATACGATCACACATACTAATCGCGTCGCCTGACAAAGACGCTTCGAGACAAAGTGAGATAATCGATAAAATCGATAACGATTAGGTCCAACACCCTCCTTGCGAGTGATGCGAGCGGAAGGTCTATCCGCCATCACAGTATCAGAAGTATGGAAGGTTTAATAAGCAAATTACACTCCACTTATTATTCATAGTGAAAAAACCTTCTGTAAAAATACAGCTTACCAGAACTGTCTGAAATCTGTAACAGGTTGAATCCAGAATTTTCAAATTTATGAAAATATGTTAGCTTTGATAAGAGGATGATTTTATCTGGAATTTTTGGCTTTTCGGCAGCGTAGTCTTCCTCGTGTATAAACGCTGAAACGCAAAATAGAAACATGTTTGTAAAAATTAAACTAGCTCTTATCTTTTCAACGTTTTTTGTAAAGATTAAATTAGTCCTTACCATTTCACCTTTTTTCTATACACATTTTCACTAACTTTTAAAACTCTGGGTTCAATCTGTTATTGGTTCCGGATAGTTCCCGACACGATTCTACTTTTTACTGATAAGTTTACTGATCATGGAGCAGCGAAATGCAATTTGCATCATAAACTTTCCCAGTGGGGGGGCAATTTTCAATATTTTGGAGGCAATTGGAAAATTATATTCCATTCATGCATTATATTATACTTTACCGAACTTTTTCGACTATTATATTGGATATTATATTAAATTTTAATGGGAGATTTAAAATAAGACGAAAATCAAGAATGTCAATTTTAAAAAAATTTTTTAAAAAATTTCAAATCATTCTGAAAAAATTATTTTCGGTTGCAGGGGTCAATTACAATCATTTTTGGTGAATACACGTAACCCGGAAATCCTACCCAGTTTCGAGAAAAAAATTCGAGAAGGTGTGAAATTTTTGGACGAAATTGAAAAATTTCAAATCGTTATAAAAAAAATATTTTTGGTTGCAGGGGTCAATTACAATCATTTTTGGTGAATACACGTAACCCTGAAATCCTACGCATTCTCGAGAAAAAAATTCGAGAAGGTGTGAAATTTTTCGGCAAAATTAAAAAATTTCAAATCGTTATAAAAAAAATATTTTTGGTTGCAGGGGTCAATTACAAGCATTTTTGGTGAATACACGTAACCCTGAAATCCTACGCATTTTCGAGAAAAAAATTCGAGAAGGTGTGAAATTTTGAGACGAAATTGAAAAATTTCAAATCGTTATAAAAAAAATATTTTTGATTACAGGGGTCAATTACAATCATTTTTGGTCATTAGACATACTTTCGAAATCCTAACCAGTTTCGAGAAAAAAATTCGAGAAGGTGTGAAATTTTTAGGCGAAATTAAAAAATTTCAAATCATTCTGGAAAAAATATATTTAGTTGTCGGGCTCAATTGCAATCATTTTTTATCATTAGACCTACCCCCGAAATCCTACCCGTTTTCTAGAAAAAAATTCGAGAAGGTGTGAATTTTTTCAACAAAATTAAAAAATTTCAAATCCTACTAAAAAAATTATAGTTAGTTACAGTGGTCAATTATAATCATTTTTGGTGAATAGACATAACCTCGAAATCCTACCCCCTTTCGAGAAAAAAATTCGAGAAAATGTGAAATTTTTCTGTAAAATTAAAAAATTTCAAATCGTTATAAAAAAAATATTTTTGGTTGCCGAGGTCAATTATAATCATTTTTGGTGAATAAGACATACCCCGTAATCCTACGCACTTCCGAGAAAAAAATTCTTTACCGAAAATCTAATGTGAGGTCAGAAATGGTTCCCTAAAATTTTGCCAAAATTATATTTTTTTATTCAAAATACATTCCTTCTGTATCAATACACCGCTAGGCACGTTCGATTAGTGTCAGCATAGATTTTTTTATATCATTTTGCGGAATCTTTTGTCACCGCGCCTTGGACTTATGTAAAATTGTCATAAAACGTTCCTTTCATGGCCAGTTTGAGTTTTGGAAACAGGAAATAATCACATGGGGATAAGTCCAGTGAATATGGAGGATGTTGGAACACACAGACCTGTTTTTATCACCAAAAATTCACGAACAGCGACGGTCCTGTGCGATGGTGCATTATCGTGGAACAAAAACCAACTTTCGAAATGGTTTATTCACGCAATTAATCAATGAATCATGTAACGAAAAACAGTAGAGATGCAATAGTATAAAATAACAGAGATGCATTAGCAAGTATCGTGAAAATAAATAACTTAATGCATCGTTGCACCAAAGAATTGGTTGCACCAGCATAAACTATAACTATTTATTTAAAGATACATTTAATGGGGGCTTCCTGTTGTTAAATGTTACAAATTCAATTTGTTTATGATAACGTAACGACTATAAACTCAACAAGATTGCTTGAAGGCTTTGCAGCAAGTAAGATGCAACTCCAGATTTAACAAATTCGCTAAAAATAGAAATAAAAACTCTTCGAATCAATCAATATGAAAGTATGTGGTCTTCAATTAGTGTTATGTTTGTTAATGTTTAGCTAAGCTATCATTTTTGTAAACGGTTTTGTTTAGTTCACTCAAAATTGATTAAAATGGAGCTGTATTCTTCCTGCTGCGAGCTTTTCAATTGTTAATTATGATACTTTGCAATTGCAGCAATGAATATTGTTACTGGAACGTTAAATATGAAATAAAATTTATATGAATCGGATTATTTTTAGAATTCTTGTTAGTCTATGAATTTGGATGAAAAGGGATTATAGATAGTTAAACAAAATCATGCATATTAACCTGAACACGAGCCTCTGAGAGTGCAATACGAAGGGCAACTTCTTCCCTGAGAAAAACGTCCGGATAGTGCGTCTTCTGGAAGAGTGATTCCAATTCTTGAAGCTGTTGCGGGGTAAAAGTCGTCCGATTGCGTCTCTGCTCAAACATAATTAACAATAATTAATGATATTTCAATAATAACAGTGTCCCCTTCTAGTCATCTCAAACACTATTCAACGTGGACTTATTATCAGATACATTATGGCAAATTGAAGAAAGTTCTAATGTAATGCTTTGAATGATTTGAAATTTTTTAATAACTTTTTAATGAAGTCAAGAAATTGATATTCTCGATTTTCGTCTTATTTTCGCCTCTAAATAGCTTGGTAACATTGATAACAACAATAACACTAGTACAAATGTGTTTATTAACACTTTTGTGTGTTGTAAATAGTGTAATGGATCGATAGTGTTTTAGATAATAGCAGAGCAACCAAAAGAGGTTCGATAAGTCGGTCATCGACGGAGATTTCGTTCCGATAAACTATGTTCTATGTTTTTTAGTCATGGATTAATAAATTATACTTTTTAAACGTGCAATATTTTCCAAGACACCTTAATAATTCAAACTATATGATAAGAGCCCATAATTGAATCATCAAGTATACTGTCTAAAGCATATTTTATCTTGTTTAAAAGTATCTTTGTGAAATAATTGAATTATTAAATTAATAGTCAATTAATGAGTTAATAGATTTCACTTATAAGCAATTGGGTCATTGAACATTCTTAATAAATATTGTACATTGAATGGACATTACTGTAGATCAGTTTCTATTCACGGAATGTGATTGCAATCTATTCGTTATTGTACTCTAAGAGTTAGGGTAAGGATGCTATTCCAGCATACGCTATAAGGAAAGACTCTTTGTACCAATGCCAACATATTAGATTGAATCATATAATAACTTTCCATTTTTCCTTTTAAAATTTATTTCGGGTCTAAGACGTTCCTATTTATGAGATAATCCCTTCGATAAATGATTATTTATTCCGTCAAGATTTGAATAAAATTACCACTGGAAAAAATAGGGGACGCCATCTTAGGAAACTTTGAAGAAGAAACGACACTTTATGAAACTCGTAGAAACTATGATATTATTATGCTGTAGAGACCTATCGATCATGTGTAGAAAGATGCTTGTTTTTGGTAAAAAATCGACAATTTCTGACGTTGTCTTTTCACTGGAAAAAATAGGGGACGCCATCTTAGGAAACTTTGAAGAAGAATGGACTGAAACGACACTTTATGAAACTCGTAGAAACTCTGATATTATTATTATTATCCTTTATAATTCTGCACTATTATTGACAGGGGTAGCCTAAATTTATAAATAAATGGTAACGGTAACATAATTAGTTCTATTATCGTACCTAATTAATCCATCAAATACTTAAGCTAATATAATAAAAATTGAATATTAGAAAAAACAATTTCTAAATTGTTATCAAAGTGGACATTTATTAAAGGTATGTAGAAGGTAGCAGAGACCTTTTGGGATTAAAAAGAAGATTATAAAACAGTTCAAAGAACTACAAATTAAAAGTAAATGAAAATGGAGTTAGATCTTTTCAACTTGAGAAGATTCTCTATGCTACAATGTGGATAACATTTCTAATCATTCGTGTAGTACTAATATTACAAATTAAACTTGATTTTTCAATATTATAATCCCTCGTGTTACATGTGTCTCTCATTTTAATATATTTCTTTTATTACTAATAGAATCTCTGTGAAAATTTTTCTGATTTCATAAGGAGATCAAGACAAAATGGAGTACGCGTACTATAGAAACTTTAAAGCCGATTTTTTTGATTATTTTCAACTTATATTTACACTAGGATTCATTTCTTTTTTTAGTTGAAACGTTAATCAATGTTTATTTTATATAATCTAGTGTAAATAATGCTAAACGAAGAACAGAATATTTACAGAATATTAAAGAGTATAATAGTTTTATTTTTACGATAATTTGTGGCTTTAAAAACAGTTACAGGCAAATATGTAACAGATTTTGTGTTTAGTAATATTTAATAACACACAATTGTCACTAACAATACTAAAACCATTTTCTATGGACTTTTATTTACTTATTGCATTTGTAAACGTATGTGAAGATTCTTTCTATCGATTGGAGCAATTTGTTTAGAACTGAATTTGTTTCTTAACACTTGAAATAACCCTCAGGGAAGCTCTATTTTTTTTAAATTTAGACTCAAAAGACTGATCTTGAGAATACTTGAAAAATCATTGATTTAGGGTAAAGCTAGCAGGAATTTAAATGGTAAGGGATTGCTCAGGAAGAGGAAATTTTAATACTCATGCGAAAAAGACATTGAAAAACCATTATTATTTGCATCTATAGAGTTTCGTTACTTTTGATGATAATTTGGGTAGGAAACGAATAATAAATAAGGAAAATGATGCGAAAAAGAAACGTACACTGACCTGACGACGTCTTCCAAACATGTACTCGGTGAGCAAATCAGCTTGGGGCCCCAGTGGTGAAAGATACGGGCCTGCCATCTCTTCGAAGACTCAAGAAGCAAAATCGGTTGCCAAAAACTGCCAGGGATCTTTTGTTTCTTTCTCTTTTTTTTTTCCAAGTATCCTCACTGCGAGAGAGTCGCTTTATCGTTCTCGATAGACGACGCCGAGGAAACTGAAGTCTCCTTTCGAGAGTTCACCCTCGATCAAGCCCCGTGTTACATGCCGGAAACGGGGGTTGGGTTTACTTCACGGGATTGGTCCATCCCTTTCGGGGGCGGTACCACTTCCATGGAGATAAGTACACACCCCTCTTGTGGAAAATTCACTAAATCGTACCGCGCAGAATTTTTCCTCAGCAAGAGGGACGGTACTTAATTTTCGGGGGTTTTTCAAGACTTTCCCTCACTTTACACCCACGCGTTACATAAATATCTGAAATTAATTACTACATTAAATTACGTTCTATAATGTTACACAGTTTTCAGTATTTTTTTACAAATCAACCATGCAATCGCGTATTTATTTTAATATTAATAAGTCAACTGTTGCATCACTCTTCAACATTTGTATAAATTTGTATAAATTTGTATAAATTACGTTCTATAACGTTACACAATTTTTGCAAATTTTTCAGTATTTTTTCAATTAACAAATCAACCATGCACTCGCATATTTATTTTAATCTTAAGAGAAAATTGTTCTTTTCCAGATACAAGAAAACGCGCCTCGCGAGAATGGCTTCAGTATCGTCATTTTGCTCTATTTTTTGATCAATTTTTTTTTTAACACTTAACAACATGGTTAGTAACATTCTCGAACACTATTATCTTCTTATTTTTCCATTCATTCAAAAAAAAAATTGCAAAAAAATGCTTTATTTCAGGTTTCTACTTTGGTCTTGCCCCTTAAAGCAGGTCAGACCTAGTTTATGTATATTTTAAACTTTATATTTTTTAATCAATTCCTCATCTGTTATCTCTATGTTTTAAAATTAATTTTACACATGTTTAATGAGTAATTGGAATTGAATTATAATTATGTTGTTATTTGCACGTTGTCCTTCCCTTTAATTTCAATCTGTACTCTACTTTGCTTTGATATTTCTTGATCAAAAAAATTTCCATTGTTTTCATATATTACAATTGCATTCGTACTCTCATATCATAAATAATAGACCATAAATTGTAATACTTAAATACGTAAAATTAAAAAATTCCAAATCGTTGTAAAAAAATTATTTTCAGTTCTGGGGGTAAATTACAATAATTTTTGGTGAATAGGCATACCACCGAAATCCTATCCATTTTCTAGGAAAAAATTCGAGAAGGTGTGAAATTTTTCGTCGAAATTAAAAAATTCCAAATCGTTGTAAAAAAAATATTTTTGGTTACAGGGGTAAATTACAATGATTTTCGGTGAATAGACATACCCCCGAAATCCTATCCATTTTCTAGGAAAAAATTCGAGAAGGTGTGAAATTTTTCGTCGAAATTAAAAAATTCCAAATCGTTATAAAAAAAATATTTTTGGTTACAGGGGTAAATTACAATGATTTTTGGTGAATAGACACACCCCCGAAATCCTATCCATTTTCTAGGAAAAAATTCGGGAAGGTGTGAAATTTTTCGTCAAAATTAAAAAATTCCAAATCGTTATAAAAAAATTATAGTTAGTTACAGGGGTCAATTATAATCATTTTTGATCATTAGACCTACCCCCGAAATCCTACCCGTTTTTAAGAAAAATTTGGAGAAGGTGTGTAATTTTTCGTCAAAATTAAAAAATTCCAAATCGTTGTAAAAAAAATATTTTTGGTTACAGGGGTAAATTACAATGATTTTTGGTGAATAGACATACCCCCAAAATCCTACCCATTTTCTAGAAAAAAATTCAATACTAGCGGAACTTTAAATGTTAATAACTTTTTAACAAAGCCTCCATCAACAAATTGGTATTCTCGACTTTCGTCTTATTTTGGCCCCCAGAATCTCTCGTTAAAATTTTTACTAGGATTGTACACCCTGTGTACGTATTGTCCTTCCACGAGATGAAAGCGTGTTTACTTATTATATTCGTTCAAGATGAAGTCTTATGTTCGTTCATTATAGTATCTTTTGATTTAGAATTTTATATAACAGTACTCCTGGTACACTTATGTGCCCCATTTTGGTCTACAGACGTCGATTGGTACAGAAAGCTAGCCGATATAATTTCATTTATAGCTCATCGAGTTAATTGCAAATTCCAATTGATATAAATTCATGATTCGAAGATAGTTTGCAACGAATGTTTCTCAAGACAATGATGAAATATACATAGATGTATACATAGACACTCTTTCTGATATGTATTAGAACGACACCGAATTAATGAATTAATAAAATTGATATTTGATGGACACTTCAAGAGTTAATATCCAAATATTTACAAAATGTCTGATCCGAGAGTTTCTGGCTGGAGAACTGTTAGCTCTGGGCGACGGGTAACGTTTTTTTACATGAAACGTGGGTCCATCAATGTGTTGATACAATATGCATAAGTGATAAAACGCCCAGCGTCATCCGAGCGTGTAAAAGAAATGGGCGGAATGAGAAAAATGCAGGAATCGATAGAGGCAAAGAGGAAAACAGTGACTGCAAGGGAAAGGTGACGACGAGGAGGGAAGAAAGCGTAAGAAGAAGAATGAGACGTGGAAGAAGAAGCAGAAGAGGGAAAGAAGGAAGAAAAAGTACCGGGGGTGTTTGGTGGTGGGAGACGTAGGCCAGAAAGTGATGCTCGGTATTCGTATAGCGCATCAGACTGAGGCACATACCCCGAAGCCATGTAATTCATTACTAAAGCAATCTCACCCTGCCCTATCTTTGCCCCTCTCCTGAACCCTATCCAGGCCTGCATACCCTCTCCCGACTTCGGCGGGCGGCGCGCGCGCGTTATAATATAAAAAAAAAAAAAAGGAAGAGCCAGCCGGATGAGGAAGGAGAAGGGCCCGAATAGAATAGCGCCCCTGACGACAAAACAAAATGAAACACAAAGCCGTGTTTTCATAATTAAAAAGATTGCATGCACTGAGTACAGTTCTCTCTTGCTCTCGCTTTTTCTCTCGTTGGCGTTCTATGCTTGCCTCCTGTACGGAGCCTTTCTGTTCGCTACGCTGTATTTCTCTTTTTCCCTTTCCATCTGATTTTCTCTGTGATTGTCCGACGAGCCTTTCTTCCTGGACGACGCTTTCTCTCTCTCTCTCTCTCTCTCTCTCTCTTTTCCCACGTCACCCTCCTTCTTTTAACCCACGCTATTTTAATGATCCAGATATAAACGAAGTATTATATTTTCATTTTACTTTTATCACGATTACTTACTTAGAAATTAATAAGGATTTTGATTAAAGTGGGCGCGAAATGTACTCGTGCAGCGAGTTATTTAAAAAAAACAAACATCGTGCAGCTTCATTTTTTGATACATTTTCGTCACAAATAATCTAGAATATGATATAGTAACTTAATATTTTGTAGGACCTCTTTTAGACCTATCAAAATGGCCAGCTATAAACACCCGATATTTTAGAATTTGTTTATGCTCATTGACTTCAACATTTTTGGCCCAATTTTGTCTAAAAATCGCTTAATACCACAATTTTTCCTTACCACTTGCGTGCATTAGGAAAACGCTCTGTTATTTATCTATCCTTTGGAATGTAGAGTCAGTTCACACGAGATGCAGCTTTCTAACGTACATCTGAATCCGCCCCCACGGATTTTTGGTCATTCTAGAGGAATAAAAAAGGAAGAAAATCAAAAATATCAATTTCTTGACTGAGGCTTCGTTAAAAAGTTATTAAAAAATTTCAAATCATTCTAAAAAAATTATTTTCGTTTACGAGGTTCGATTACAATCATTTTTGATCATTAGACCTACCCCCGAAATCCTACTCGTTTTCTAGAAAAAAATTCGAGAAGGTGTGAAATTTTTCAACAAAATTAAAAAATTTCAAATCGTTATAAAAAAATTATAGTTAGTTACAGGGGTCAATTATAATCATTTTTGGTGAATAGACGTAACCTCGAAATCCTACCCATTTTTGAGAAAAAAATTCGAGAAAATGTGAAATTTTTCTGTAAAATTAAAAAATTTCAAATCGTTATAAAAAAATTATATTTAGTTACAGGGGTCGATTATAATCATTTTTGATCATTAGACCTACCCCCGAAATCCTACCCGTTTTCTAGAAAAAAATTCGAGAAGGTATGAAATTTTTCAACAAAATTAAAAAATTTCAAATCGTTATAAAAAAATTATAGTTAGTTACAGGGGTCAATTATAATCATTTTTGGTGAATAGACGTAACCTCGAAATCCTACCCATTTTTGAGAAAAAAATTCGAGAAAATGTGAAATTTTCGGCAAAATTAAAAAATTTCAAATCGTTATAAAAAAATTATTTTCGGTTGCAGGGATCAATTATAATCAATTTTGGTCATTACACATATCCACGAAATTCTACCCATTTTCGAGAAAAAAATTCCTAATCGAAAATGTAACTGTATGTTGCCCGAAAATTTCATGGGAATCTTTAAAATGCCATAACTTCTGAACGGATTGAAGGATTTTAATGTTCGAAGCGGCAAACAACGCGTATTTTGGCGAAGAATATGTAGAAATTCTAATAATAGTGAAAAAGTTGTCCCTTCACCCCGTAAAGTTAGAAAAACCCCATAAAAATGGTCCAATTTTCAAAAAGCCATAACTCCTACAATAGTGAATATATTTCAATGAAACTTTTTTCTGAAGTAGAGCTCATGGGTACCTACAAAAAAGTATTAGACAACTTTTCTATAGGACGTCAAACGAAATTACTAAAAATGAAAAACAATTTTTAAGAAAAATCGACAGTGTGTAGGTGCCTTAATTTTTCGGCGAAAAAAACATTTTTCGAATCGTTCTAAAAAAATTATTTTCAGTTGCAGGGGTGAATTAAAATAATTTTTCGTGAATAGACATACCCCCGAAATCCTATCCATTTTCTAGAAAAAAATTCGAGAA